TAGTGGCAGTGGAGCCTGAGCCACATATGGAGAAAGTAACAGGACTTTTAAATCTTTGTTAAATCCCCAACTTTCATCTGCTCAGTAGTTGGATTTCTCTGGATTTAAGGGCTTAAATAACAGAACGTGTTCTTTGGATTTACAGTTCCGTAGATCTGAACCTAATGAAATAATTAATTTGAGTGTAGATGATGTTCTTGTTTGTTAGCGTCTTTAATTTTGGGCTGTTAGGGATTCTGAAACACTCAAGACTTTTGAAAAAGGTCTTACTGGGAGCCCTTGGAACATTTGAGTTACAATGATAATCTGTCAGATGACCTCCTATGTTTTGTGCCATTTCTGTATTCTACCATAACGTTGGTGAAATGGTTCTTTCCATTTTTTTTCTAATACATTTTCTAGTGGATTGTGAAATATTGTGAAATTTAGAGGAGTTCTGAGTGCTGAGTGGCACATTGACGTGGCAGTTAGCACTGCTGCCTTGTAGCTCCAGGATTCAGGGTTCAGTCCTGACGTTGGACCACTATATTCTCAAGGTTTTATTTTTTTTCCTTCTCAAGTGTCTTGAGTGCGCTGGAGTTCTTTAGGAAGTTGGAATATATTTTTTCCAAAGGAATATATTCCCGGGGCCTGAAGAAGTTTGTATTCCAGCTATGGTGTAGAGTTGTTTTCTAGCCTAATTAAGTGGTGCTTACTTGGTAGATGACCTTGGACTACATGCCAAGTAGAATCCCAGATTAGTCTTAACTAGTGGCTTATTGTGAGACTATGAGGCCAATTTGCTATTGACATGTGCCTTGGATGCACACGCTACTGTGAAAATGGCACTTTCATTAATTTTCATTTTTCTGAAATAAAACATCGTTTTCTTTTATTTTTAAAAGTTGGAAGACCTAACTCCTATCTAAAATGCATATCTAGCTGTAGATTGGGTTATAAATGTAATTGCTCTGTTAAAATGTCTGTTTTACACCTCTTACTGCTTAAAACAATACTTGATGTCCTGTAACAGTTCTTTAGATATTTTGGTAATAAAAGCCTGGATTTCATGATGTAACCATTCAGCATCAAGTTTTTATCAGCATTTTATTAATTGTTGCATTACCTAATGGATTTTATATGTTTTTCTATTCTGTATGATTAAAAATCCTATATATTCTATTTTATGTGCAAATTATTCATGGTGAATAATTGTAGTCATGCAATATACCGAGGTGCCTATCAAGGTCAGTGAAATTATACAGTATATATCCCAGTGAGGAATAATTCAAAGACTGTACAACATGTTTAAGACTTTAGATGAAATACAGGCAATAATGTACCCCAATTTTGAACTCCAAACCAGCACCATGGGCTAGAGTGCAGATATATGATGTTCATATTGATATTTAAGATACTGAACATCCTGGGATGTTAATGACCTGTCATTGAAGATGTTTTGTGGCAGGAGATGATTCGGAGTTGGAAAGTCTTTAATTTTATTTTTTTTGCTAGTTTTACCTACAATATGCACAAAGGTTGGAATATTTTCCTTTTCATTGTTGAAGAAATGCACGAACGTTAGAAAAGCTTTAGTGTCACATGTAGTGAGAAACAGTTTTGTTAGCAATATGGCTGAGCAACGCCCATGGACTTTCTAAAATGTTAATAGAACAATTCTGCATTTAGAACATTTATTATTTATTATTGTTGTTCTTGCAGTTGGAATTTATAATTACTTACAGAATATTGGTGCCGGGCCACAGACTTTTTCAATATGTATCCATTATGCAAAGTTTTCATTATACTGAATATCTGCATTCGTGTCTCATCCAAGCGGTGTTTCTGGTAATCATCATCTCTCTTCATTTTAAACTAGAAAAGGTAGCTTATCTGACTGTTTGATTTCTAAAACTATATTTTGTTCTTGCAATTGCATGTATTAGGGAAGAGAAAGATCACTTCATTAGCCATATACAATTTCTTGCATTAGGAATTTGTCTTTTCACATACCCCAGCTTGCTCTCCATGAGACACACAGGCACACGGACGGGGAGAGAGAAGCCTGGGGTCAGAGCGCAGGGTCAGCCATTTATACGGCGCCCTGGAGCAGTTGGGGTTAAGGGCCTTGCTCAGGGGCCCAACGGAGTAAGATTCCTCTGCCAGCTGCGGGATTTGAACCGGCAACCTTCCACAACCCTTAGCCACAGTGCCACCATTCCGCCCAGTATAGAGATCATTGTATAGAGATTATTAAAACAGCAGAGTTGAAAAGCAGCTGCTGAATTCAGCTCATTTTTATGATGAAATTGTATAAGCATGACTGAGTCAGTGCTGATGCAGGCTTTGCAGTCCTGCCCACATTCCACACGTGTGGCAGGCAAGCATTAGAGCTACTCTTAGACCGTGAATTGACAGCAGTTTTAAGGAATTTTAGTGTACTTTAGAATAGCACTAATTTTCCCTGTACTTTCAAAATGAATGTATTTATAATACTCCACCATTGAAGGTTCCTGAAGGAAGGTCAGCAAAGCCCCCTTTGTCGGTGTCTATAAAGATCTGCTTGTCTAAATTCAATGAATATGAACACAGGTATTTTATTCCACTGCATCATCCAATAATAAAACCATAAACCACATCCTTAAAAGAGGAGGAGATTACAATTAAATTGTATTTGAACACTGAAAGCTGTACAAGTTATATCATTTGTATACGTATGATAATACCAGTGTGCCTGTCCTTCTATTACTGTAAGTTGACTGAATTATGGAATAGTTTTAGATAACAAGGCAGTGTAAGGTTGTCTGTAACTCTGGCTGTGCGTACAGTCACTACTGTACATTGTTATATTTTCCAGTTTACTTCTGAATCTCTGGTGTACCAGTCTGCTGTCGTAGCAGGTTGAGTGTAGATGTGAACTGTGTGGTATGGGCACTGAAAGGTTTACTTGTAGCAGTTGTTTGAACCTGGGGCCCAATCATATGTGTTGTGTATTTCTACTGTGTTGTTAGACGGCTGTCTGTGTTAGAAGAAATGAACAGGAAAATAGGAAAGGTTACACCCAAGAAGACTTATTTAATGTGTTTGGTTTCTAACAGGGAATTGATTTGAGGATCTCATCTAGCCATTTTTTAAAAGAAGCCAGTGTATCAACTTTAATTTCATCACTGGGCAGCTGATACAAGATTCCTACAACCCATTGTGTAAACAAGTGCCTCCCTTTGTCAGCATTAAATGCACTTAATTTACACTTGTGTTCTCTGGTTTCACTGTTTATCTTCAAAGATTCCATTGTGTTGGATTTGTCAGTGCCTTTGAGGACATTTTATACTTAATTCAGATTCCTTCATAATCTTCTCTTCTTAAGACCAAAAATAAATGGTAATAAAGTAACCTTCTTGTGTAAATTGTATGGAGAACCTTTATATTATATACTACCATTAGTTTTAATGTAATCAGAATATTTTGGGATAATGTTTCTCAATTGCTTTTGCTACTTTTGTATTCTAAAAAGTGCTGGATTCATACTGTAGATCTGGTAGCAGCTGATGTATGACTGATATTTTGGCTTGAAAAGAAACAAATTCAACATGCAGAAGTTCGTCTAGCACGGTGGACCTTTCTGGCAATGTGTCTTGAACACTTCAGTTTAAATTGTCTTCATGATGAAATTGCATTTGATAGAAACATGCAAGAAGCTTTTATTGAGTTCTGCAGTTTGTAATAGACAGATCAAATAACGGATCTAATATTTATTTTAATCTAGGTTAACAATTGGCAACAAAATATTTTACTTTCAAAGTGGAGTGGGAAAATACTGTAACTGCAGGCTTACAGTTGGTGCCAAATGAAGTAATTAACACCTACCTTGAATCATTTGAAACTGAAACTGCTGCTCCCCTTGGCTGCAGGCTGCAGGAATAATGGCCATTATCCTATCCTACTGATGTCCACTCATAAGACATCAGAATCCTCCAGTTCGAGCTACTTCTTTGCTGAAAACAGATGACTACAACCCTTTTTATGGAGGCACCAAATTGCAAACTAAAGAGCATAGATTTTGGATATTAACTCAATATTTTATAATGGCTAATCAAATTTCTAAGTATGTAATTCTGATTAATTGATCAGGACTGTCTGTGATGCACTTAAGGGATTCTGATGATTGCATGAGCAAAAAATCTCCTAATTCATGACATAGTAGATGGGGCAAAGATGATAATGTGATTTAATCTTGTGAATGTCAGGCCGGGTGAAAATCGAGAAACACAGTAAGCAGCCAATATGCCCTTATCAAGATAAAACCTTCATTGCCATCAGTGTGTTGAAAGCTGGACTGAATCATTCTTAGTTACTGTCTGGGGTGTTTTTTCTAAAAGGCAAAAGGTGAAACATTATAGCCATACCACAAGTCATGAAGCCTTGCAGAGGATCAGTGGGGTGGTTCTAATGGGATTGTCTGGGCACGAGCACTTGTACGCGTTTCACAACTGTACTTGATGGCAAGATGACTGCGCGGTGCTACATTTATCAAGTCCAGGGACTTCTCTCATCGCCACTCCTGCGGGATCTTCCCGATGTGACAATGCACTTCCACATGCAGCTCATGTAACGACCAATGCCTTGCGAGACGAGAAGGGGGCAGTTAGGCCATAGACGCCGAACATGAGTCCCTTTAAATCTGTGAGATAACCTGGGTTGGCTTGTGGCATCTGGAACTAAGATCAATGAAAAGGCACGTGCTTGTACAGACTTTTCAAGACTAATGGGACAGAATCCCACAAGACATCATCTGCAAGGCATGCGTCACAGATGTACAGCTCTTATTGGCCAATACAAATACACTACTTGCTTGTGACGTACACAGTAGATCCTCTGTTGATGACAGATGTTAGTCAGCATAATGACTTTACCTATGTCAGGTTTTTCAATAAAATGTCAATGCATCTGCTACATTAGAGAAGGTCATGTTTTACAATAACTTTGTGATGTTCAGTTTATGCTCTTTATTTCCTTTTAAGATGAAATCATGCAGCAAGAGAGCAGCCCCCTGTGTGCTGTGGATATTGAGGATGACCTGAAAAAACAGTTTGCCTACTTGTCAGGTAAGAAGTCATTTTATTCCATTATTTTTAGTTTCTTAATCCACAGTAAAATGGGCCACCTAATTATATTGCACCACTTCCTTTGTTTCTAATTAATTTTAAATTAACAGGAGGTAAATTAATTAGGGCTTCTGTTTGCTGCACTCAAAGTCGTTCAAGTTTTGGATTAGTTCAAGACCAAGTTGTTAATGTTGTCCACCTGTCAAAATAAATGTTGGAAATTCTTGTTTTAACATCAGGGTGTGACTAAAGAAACCACCTTGTTTACTGAAATAAAGAATCACGTCTCGCAAGTGTGATGTATGAATGTGAATGTCGGCATCAGACGTCGGCTCTCTTAAGAGCAGAACTCTGACTTTCCCACTTTCAATGGCTAAACACGGCAGTGTAGTGAAATTTAAGTAGCCCCGGGCTCAGCATTCCTGAGCAGCATGGCATAAACGTTTAGATACAGGTTGAAACTGGGTTGCCATGGACAATAGAGGGAAAACAGGAATGAATAATTTATCAGCTGTGTATTCTACTTGAAGATGCGTCTTCGATAGCAATGAAATACGTGTGGGTGGTCATAGCAAAAATGAGGGGTAACGTAAAGCAAGATATTTTTGTTTGTAACATTTGTTTTTCCAGGGGTTCTTGCATTAGTCATTAAACACAGACACTGATGAGCTGTGGGAAGATAGATTGCCTTATTTTAATGTCCACTTGAACCATTTTGCCTGCTCCTGGGCCTTGGTCTGAGAATTACAATCTTCTTGTGTCCATTCTTTTTACTTTTTCACAATTTATGAAAATTGTTCAACATGGAATTATGAACAAGACTAACAAGTGGCACGGTGGCGCAGTTGCTAGCATTGCCACCTCACAGCTCTGGGGCCCTGGGTTCAATTCTGGACCTTCAGCGCTATTTGCGTGGAGTTTCTGTGTTCTCCTCGTATTGGTGTGGGTTCACTCCCACAGTCCAAAATCACACTGGTAAGTTAACTGGCTTCTGGGGAAATTGGCCCTGGTGTCTGTGTCTGTCTTCCCTGCGATAGACTGGCGTCATGCCCAGGGTGTACCCTGCCTTACACCCGGTGTTTGAAGGCGTAGGCTCCAGCTCCCCCATGATCCTGAGCTGGGAGAAGCGGTTAGTTCATGAATGGAAGGATGAATAAGATTATGGCTGCTTCTCTGTCCAGCAGTTAAAAAAAAGAGGATTTTTAAACATATTTTAAAATATTCATATCTGTTTAGATTTATGTGCACTCTACAGATAGGTACAATATATTTACAATAAATACTGCCTAAGTGTTTATATTGATAATGGCAAAAAAAAAGATGTTTTCCAAAAATGAATTCTTTAAACGGGCTGGAGTTCAATTTCAAAGGCTGTTTCCTTGACAACTGACAAAAATGACAAATCTCCCATTTAGTGCATCAACGGTGTTGTTCATTGTACAGTGGGTATCACTTTACACTCGGTCAGTTGCTGCATTTTAAAGTCTCTCTGCACAGTAATGGGTTTATTTTCCCACAGCATTAGAATTTCCATGAGATCTCCGCCTTAGGTAAATAATTATCTATTCATTAATCATTTGCTATCAGACATGACTGTACACATCACTTACGTACAGCTAAATTTTGACAGCCGCGCAGTAGTTGTTTTTCCCTTGCTCAGAATGTATAGTTACATTATTTTTGTGCAATTTAACTTTCACTTAATCTGTGCTGGGGATATGTTGGCAAACAAACAGGTCAAATATCTACGGTAAACTGATGACACACTCAGTTTTCTTTCCTTTGCAAGGGGATCGTCCTTTGAACGGTATAGCTGAGTGCTCTTTATTGATGAGGAACGGAATGAATGACAGCTCTTTAATCTGACGTTGAAGGTCTAACCTAGGAAAAGCGTGAAGTGAAATGGCCCAGTGCCCTTGCACATGGCTTCCCCCTTTATAATGAAGTGATTTAAAGGATGGAGAGGTCCCGTGTGCTTTGTTCAAGGTTACCTTGAACCGAGCTCTGAATTTGAATTGGGCTTCTTTAGCTAGCAGCATATCAGACGGCAAAGCTACTGAGTGCATAATTACCACTGAGCAAAAATCCTCATCATTGAGAGAAAGAGCCAAACGGGCAGGCAGATTGATTCTGTGCCTTATGTTATCATTGTTTTTAGTTCCTTCCCTTTGTCATCATACGATCATGCACAAGATTTAGAAATGTGTTCTCCCTTTATGTAGTCGTATTTCCATATGGTATGTACCATTTGTATTGTGGATTCTACATTTTATATTTGTATATATAATTAAAATTAAAACATCACAAACCCCAGCATATATATATATAAATATGGATTCTTTTCTGGACCTTTGAAATCCAAATGCCAATGTTTTGCAATTGTTTATCTAAATTACATTTTCTTCAGGTATTTCTTAAGAACTGCAATTTATTTCCTGTTAATCTTTTGGGTTTAGATGGCAGATATTGAAAACCGTACTAAAAGGTGTTGTATTTAATCCATCTCAATGTTCCCACACTGAAGTATGATCTCATAAATTGGGTTTACCACATCCTAAAAGGTAAGCCACAGTTCCTAGCAGCTTCTTGGATACTGAGATAGCACACCACCATTCAGTTCTGTTTATTAACAAGCAGCGAGAGAAAGTCCAAGTTTCTGTTTCGCCAACAAGTTAAGTTAAAATGGTGAGAGCCCATGTTTCTCACATTAACTGAGCATTGTGGCCACTAACCACACTACCTTAATGATCTGCTTTAGAATTGGACTGTATTTTAGAACCGAGCCTGAGGTAGATTCTAGCATGGGTTTCAAGTACATGATTATATTTTCTATGGTATAGATGGAACTGTATTTAGTGGTTATAGTTTGGGTAAAAAGTAAGTAATTAAGTTTCACTCATATTGTAGACAGTGCCTTAGAGATGGTATAAAGGTGTATATAAATATTATTTAAATAGATCATCCATTTCAATTAATGTATGCACAGTATTATAATTTATAATTTATAATACTCATTAATTACAATAACTAGTCACCAGTTAAATAAAAACTTTATTCTGCACCCCGATTAATGTTTTATTGTCTCAGACGCATACAGGTATGTGCTACAGACATGTTGACTGTGAAAATCCAAGATTCAATATCTTTGTTTTGTCTTATTGGTTTATCATGTATTTATTGTATAAGCATTCGCAATCTATAATTTTATTTTTTTTTTAATAAAAATGGAAAACAATTTTCAGTAGAGTCTTTCTTCTTTTTTAATTCAGGTGCCCCCTTGTGGTGTTATTTTTCTGTCAAACCAAACCATTTCCAAAAGTGGTTATGTTTATAACCAAGGGTAGAGCAGTACTTAAACCGGCTTTCTTGTTGCAGTTACTATATGTTATAATCGTCCTGAAAATGGTCTTAACTTTTTAGGTTTAATTGCACACCACTGCAACACATTTCAGTTTTATCTGCACAATTTATCAGTTTTATCTCAAAAACTCAAGTGTGCTGTTTGCACAGGAAAATTCACTTCCAATCATTTGTACCTTGGCTGCTGATTTCGGTCCTTGATTAAAACCCCATGTTGAATTAAAGAAACAGCATAATGCTCTGTGTATCTGAGTTCTAGCTTTCCAATTCAAGCCATATCCTACTCCACTGCTACAAATATGTTGCTTTTGAACTGTTTTTTCCTCAGATTTAGCTGTCTTTAAAGAAAATCTTCACTATTAAAAATCAATATTTATTACAGCAGTTGAGACTATATTGCACTACAGAATGGTCAAATAAGTAAGCATTTAGTAATCTTGTTAAAATATCAATCCCCTTCTAATTGAAATAGAAATTTTATATTATATTAAATATATTTTTTCAAATAGATATTTTGGTCTTTTAGGAGGCAGAGGGGAGAACAACAGTCCTATCATCACTTTTCCTGAATACCCGACCTTCAATGAAATCCAGGAGAAGGAATTCCACAATGTCCTGACTTACCTCACCAGCATTCCCAGGTCAGAACTCCTTTTTCCTCAGTGCGTTATTTGTGCATTCTGACTGTATCTGGGCGTTTGAATTTGTGTTGAAGTTTGTAATAAAAAATAATAAAGCTCTTAATCTCTTTTAACCCTTTTAATGGATTAAATCTTTTTAATGTCTTCAGTATTAAAACTGTAAACTTTTTGGAACAATCTTTTACTCTTATGTCTTCATAAAAAATTGTCATATGTACCGGACTTAAGATTGTATGAGAATGTGGAGATTAGAATGTATGGTTATAGTTGATTTGGAAAACTGAGATTTGAGTCAGGGTCTGGAGACTCACACCAGGATGCATCTGGGAGTGAACATTTTCGAGCAATGCATTAATTTAATTGAATATTAGACAAAGATTATAATGAGTAATGTGATAATTGCTCTCAGAGAGTCATGTTTTTAAAAAATATAACTAGTCTCTGCTGTCTATTTGAGGCTAGTTATAGCTTGTAGTTGGGCATGTTTTTTTTTCAGAAACAGGAGAGACTTTTATAACTGAGAAAAAATGGTGTTGATTAATAATTATAAGTGTTTTCTGGCTAATATTAGCTTACACTGTGTATTTTTTATCCTCATCTGAATATTGCTGTAATATAAGAATTTTAGAAATAATTATGGAATTGGTATCTGGTACCACTAGGTGTCAGTATTATGCTGTAGTTTCTCCTTTTAAAATAGTTTGATAAAATATAATTTTATTTGACAGTAGAAGGGCAGTGTGGTGGAGCAGTAGTTAGCATTGCTGCCTCACAGCGCTGGGGCCCTGGGTTCAATTCCAGACATTGGGTGCTATCTGTGTAGAGTGTGAATGTTCTCTTTGTGTTTGTGTAGCTTTCCTCCCACAGTCCAGAGACGTACTGGTAGATTAATTGGCTTCTGGGAAAATTGGCGCTGGTGTGAGTGTGTGTGTATGTGTCTGTGTCTGTGCATGCCCTGTGATGGACTGTATATCTGCTATGTCCTTTCGTACCATGAGGTATGAAGGTCAGTACTCGCTAGAAGAGGTACTTTTTTCAAAGAATCATTTACTGCTTGATCTACAGCTGGAGCCAAACTGGTCTATGTTGCAACTCTGGTAGCAGAATGGAATGTCAGCCTGTTTACACCAGTTAGTGTCTGATGTACAGTACCACCGTTAATGGAATCATCCCTTAATCCCTACAGGACTTTTAAAATCAGGTAGTGCCTGTGCTAAGACCTGCAAATAATTACATAAACCTCCATCTCCAGATGTCTGTCTGTTAAACAGCAGGAGCTGGCCAGCTAATGCTTAGCAGGGAGTGTGGGAACCTTCCCTTCGCAGTCTTTCTTAATAGCACTTAATTCCTGGCGCATGTCTTTGTGTTCACCTCCGAAGACATACAGGTGTGGAAGATACAGTAAAGGGCTGACTCCATTGTGCTCAGTGTTTTTGTGTTTGGAGTTTGGAGATGGAGAAAACTTGCAAGAATACAGCTGTAGTTTCTAACCCCTGCTTCAAGCTATCACATATTTCCCAGATCAGCGTTAAGTCACAAACACATGGGTCCTTAAACAACTCAGATTGGTTCACATGGGTCTCAGCATGGATCTCCACCATTCCCAATGGTCTGACACTTAGATTAGAGGCAAGAATTAACATGCTTTTCTTTTTCAAGTAAGCACATAAGTAAGGCTACAGAAGAGGGCATTTTGGGCCATCGAGCCTGTTTGGTCGATTTAATGATCCAAGGATTCTTGAAAGAAGCTATGGGTAGCAGCTCAATAACATGGCTGGGTAGCTTGTCCCACAACACTCTGGATAAAGAAATGACTCGTGTTGCCAATTTTAAATGCACTTCCACGTAGTTTCCACTTGTGCTCTCTGATTCATGTTTCACTGGTCATTCCGAGGAAATCAGCTACAGTAGGTTGGTTTTGTCAGTGTTTTAGAGGATTTTGAAGACCTGTGTATGAGAGTGCCTTCAGTCTTCTTTATTCAAAACTGAAAAGGTTCAGTTCCTTCAGGCTATCAGTGTACAACATTCAATTAAGCTCTGACATGTATCTAGTTACTCTTCTCTGAACTGATTCCAGAAGCCGCAATTTATCTTTTGTAACATGGCGATCAAAAATGAAAAAAATCATTTTCTAAATAAAGCCCTACTCGTGCATTACACAATTTTTAATAGTCCCTTGATTTAAATTCTAAGCTTTTAAAAAATGTTCCAGCTTCTTGCTCTTCCTTGTAATTGCTCCCCCTCATCGTGTGGAAGGGTTTTATCCTGGCACCTGCGCCATTATCAAGAGAGTGTGGAAGAACTGCTGTGTCACATGTGTGAGTCTGTTCCCTGGAAGGACAGATCATTGGAAGGCAATGAGCCATTAATTTGGGTTCCTTGCCAAAAACAATCAATAATCCTTGTGCTGGCTTGTGTCTATTTTCAGAGGATTCGAAATATAAAGGAATGCTTTTCCTGCTGGATTTATTGCCATGATTTATGTACTTTTATAATAAAGTGGCTATTTTCTTCAGGGCTGATTTGGTTGTTCAGCTGGGAATATGTTCATGTTGTTCATGAAGTTTATGTTGCAGTGGTCGATTAATTGCAGCAGAATATGGGTGATAATTGCAGTGGAATGTTTAAGGAATGTTTATCCATAATTTATTTAGTCTACCTTGCAGCTGAGAAATCTAAAAATGTTTTAAATTGAGATTAACTAAATGTGTGCAAGCTAAAAACAGACTTGCTTTCTTAAAAATGCTAGTGCTAAATGGTTGTTTTTAAATAGGATTGTTATGAACAGGCTTTCTAAGAATTAGCATGATTTAACCCATTTTATTATTATTTTGAATTAATTAGTGCAATTCTGAATGCCCTCACCTGGTGTTCAGCTTTAATGTTTAAAGATTTAGCCTTATATTCTTTGCAATCTATAAAATGGCATTCTGAAGATCAGCATATTCCAAAATAAAGATTCATCGATCAGTTGCTAGTATAATTCCATTCTAGTACATACTGTATGAACATAGATATGGTCAAACATAACTCCTAATTTCAAAATATCAGCACAAAAACATGACGGTAGCCCTCCATCCATGCGTTTTCAATTAACGTTTAGTCAAATACAGGGTTGTGCTGGGCCAGAGGGCAGTAGTAACATGATCTATAAAATTTCAAATGTAATCTCATGTACTGTAGGCAATTTAATCAAAGGCCATCTTAAAGGAAAATTCTTATTTTAAGGGATTGTAATTCGCTGTTATAATCCAGTATTTTCGAATAAACCTGCACCTATCTGATTCTTAAAATCAGTAGTATGTATTATGAATCCTTTGTTACTGTCATTAAGCAGTGTTATTTTCCTGATGAATCCTTATTTACTCATTAAGGGCTCCGTTTTGCAAGACTGTAAAATGAGCCATTTTGCGCTCCCTGCGTTTCTCTTCTCAAGACACCAAAGGGTTCCTCTTGTAGACCAGGATCTGTGCAGTGAATCCAGAAAATAATCATGCTGTGTGGGAAGTGGGGGAAAAAAAAACAGCTGTCAGGGCTGGCTGCTGATTTGTGAAGAGGAATGCAGCTTCGCGCTTAACGCCGGAGCGGGGGTTTGTTTTGCAACAGTACGGATCCACGGGCTTGTCACTCCACACGAGCAATTGGAGCAAGTCACTGGCGAGGCTGTCGCTCACCTCGCTCCCGGCCGAGATTGGCTGTCCGACAGCTGCTGGCGGAGCGCAATTGGCTTGGCGATTGAATTGACTGGAGCAGCAGCAGCGGCTGACTGCGTTCATACTCCCTGCCCACGACACTTACGTGAATAAAGCAAAAAAAAAAACAACGAAGGTCATCTCTCGTCGTTTTTTTTTTTTATCTCGGTTCTCACATTAGAGTTTGGAGCCAACCTCTTTGCTTCACATGAATCGAGGGGATGTATCTCAGGACAGAAACGACCTGGTTCTCCTGCGTGTTTAAGCGTTTGGTGTGAATATCCCGTCTTGTGCTCATCGCATTTTCAGCGTGCACATGGTTTACAAGCACCTCTGCACCTGCAGGCTGGTTTTGTTTTCAGTGGCAAAGCATGTGGATCAGTAACTGCTGAGGCTTTTCCTTCACGGCATTAAAGGCTAGATGAAATAGCTGAACAGGATTTCGATAACTCTCGCCAACGCCTTCACCTCAAACTCCACATGAGCCGTGCGCGCCTGAGGATGCTTTGCGCCTGGGAGTGCGTTTGCGCTGGTCCTGCGGTTTCTTCTCATCCTCCTTCCTCCTCAAATCTGTTACATTAGGGAGAGGCAGGAGCGGCGCCTGAGCAGACATGACTGGCAGCCTTTCTTTTGCCGTCTTTGCTGTAGCGGAAAGCAGCTGTTCAGAATGTGCCGTCATGAATGTTAACTTCTGCCGTTTAGCCTCCAGGCTGCTGGGGTCGGGTTTATCCTCGTCATTGATCGCCGCCAGGACAAATGGACCTCTGTGAAAGGCACCCTGCTGCGAATCGCGGTAAGTCACCTTTCGTCCGCGGAAAGGCTTTAATTTCTTTCCAACACGCACGGGATTCACAACGATCTTGGTCTGGCTACTGCCCTCCTCCTCGCCAGCACGCCCTCCCTTGTGGAAAGCCTGCAGGTGTCCTTGTGGAGGGATCGTGAATCCGTCGTGCCAGCTGCAGGCTGCTCTGGTGTGAAGGAGTTAACTCTGGAAACCCATGAAGGCACTCGGCAAGAGGTAATGCGAACTGGCAGGCAGTCTCCCGCAACAGCAGCTTGATGGGCTGAGACAGTTGAGGTGGCTCAGTAAATAGCCTCAGAAAAAAACCTTCACCTGCTTAGGAGAGGGCTTTCGAGCTGGCACCCGAAGAAGGAGCAAGTGATTTGTTTTCTCTCTGTGGGTTTTTCACCCTAATATGTTTTGCCTTGTAGTGTGCTCCTAGAAAATGCCACCGAAGTATTTTGTTCATTGAAACATTTCTAGTGCGCTCCTCCCCCTTCTCCCCTGTCTTTCTAATGCTCTTCAAATCCGCGACTGATTAAAAATCTGAAATTAGAGATAAAATCATAGGGAGTTTAGCTGCAGTGTTTAATAGGAGCAGAAGAGTTCAGTGTGGGAAAGACTAGAGTTTTTAAGAAAATAGTAGCTGGTATTTCACTCATAGTTGGAAACTGCATTACACTTTATAGACACCTCAGTTATCATATCTCAGTACTTAATTCTTATCTATAAAATTCTTTCAAAAAGATTGTGATAAAAAGCAAGGCTCTCGGGGTAAGATTTATTTGGATTGTCACTCTCATTGAAGGCCCCCTGGCAATTGATATGTTCCAACTCAGCTGCATTGTGTATTAATAGACAATAATAACCTTTAAGAGCCATCAAATCCATGATTTAAACCATCAAATGTCATAAATGGCATTTTAAAAATATATAATCCTCTGAAAAAGAACAGTGCGTTTCAACACCTTAAAACAATCTATGAGATAATCAGGAGAGAGGCCAATTTCCTTTTTCACAAAATATTAGAGCTTTTCAGCACCTAGGGCAGGTGGACAGCACCATTCCAGTTTTGTAGTGTTGGAGGAAACTCACTAATCCATGACTTGCTTTATCTAACTACTATTTCCAATGACTGTGCCATATCTTGATTTTTTGTTTGAACCCCAAAAATCTGATTTTGCAAAGATAATTAATACTGTAGACTAATTGTTAATACTTTTTATATTCGAAAAATCCAAACACTGTATAGTGCAGACATGGATATGGTGGTTTTCTCTTGCTGTATACTGCTGTATTTCTCCAAAATGTCTCAAGAGTACATATATGATGAGTTTTTTCCTGTGTAGTAGGGCAGCAAACTCTGCTATTGCTGTAATCATGGCATGTTCCGGGCCATTTGGTAGCACCATCTCCTATATAGCAGTCTGTAGAGAGGTGGATTGATGAACTATGAATACTCCTGCACAGCAGTCCAGAGAGATTCTTCATGTGACTGAGAGAGAACTTCCCACCAGCAACAGTAGCTTTTGTGTAATACACGTGTATTAGTTTAGTGCTAATGTATTAAACAAGTTTATTTACCCACTTAATGCCCTAAAAGCACAGTGTATAAATCTCTGTCTCTTTGAGATGTTGAATAGATTGTTGTATCTTTTGAAGAATGTTAAGAGATGACAAAATGGTACTGGCTAAGGAATTCACTATGTCATGTATGTAGTGGGAAATCTAGTCAGTTCTCCTGAAATCAGCATGCAAAGTGTTTCCACTGTTATCACAACACAGTACCTGGTAAACCATAGATATAGAAAATTGGTTATTTATTCAAAAATATGCAATTGGACCTCCATAAACTATATTATTCAATTTTATTTAACAGACTCAACAGACTGTTATTTAGCCTATCCAAGAGCTACTCTGCTGCTTGAAGTAAATGGTCTTAAATTGTAATTAGACATTCGACTTTCAATCATTCCTACATGTTTTACTGCTGATCCAGCTCTATATCTATCAGGCCAATAACCAGTGCAATCTTTCCATCACTCATTTAACACTTAACTTAATCTGTAACTAGAAAATGTGCGATTTCCCTTTTTAAATGTAAATATACACATCTCCATTGCTGTTAGTCACAACATATAAAGTGTTTTGATTGAACTGCTAAGCTGAAATTGTTTTTTACAAAACACAGTGTTGAATTCTATTTCACTGGATTTTTCAAGGCAGTCATTGCATCCCTAATCCTCACAAACCTATGCCAGTATTTACATTTCTGTACTTGAAGGTTAGCTGAAGCTTGCATTGTTTGTTGCTTTACCCTTCAGTCACAGATATCATAATGAAAGACATTTTTGCAAGTGCTCTGCTGATTCCTGTATTTTGAAGTGATCACTATTGATAGGCATGTTGGCATGCCTTATCATTACCTAACGCTCACCTGTCAAGAAAATAGTGCTTAATTATAAAACATATACTCAAGTTTAAAATAGCATTTTATGACTATTAAACTTAGTGTATTTTAGTGTATATACATAGTTTAGATTTAGTGTATATTAGGTTCTTAATACAATTTGTGTCTTTCCCATTAGAAATTTTATGTTAAACAACAGTTGGCAGGCAAAAATATATATTCATATTTATATGTGAAATGGAAATAGAAGCCTAGTATTTTCTCAAAAGGTCAGTGTATTATTTGAATACCCCTTTAATCGGGACAAGATTCTTTCTGTATGAGAGTTATTTAAAATGTACTTATACAAGGAGTTATTTTAAAGAATATCCGTATTCTTTTCATTTGTATTCCAGGTAAGTGTTGTGCTTTTGACTTTCCTTGTTTTCCTCTTTAACCTTTCTCTGTGACTGTCTTTTTTTCCCTTTTTCTTCAATGACATAGAATGGCCACTAATCCATCTCGATGAGAATTTACATTTAATTTTTTTAAACCTACGATGGAGTAGTGGCCTTTTTAGATGTATTAAAATGTTCAAGGTAAAAAAAATACAGTTTGTCCTTTAATACATAATCATCCATCCATCTTCTAATCTCTTTATCCAGTACAGTGGCATGGGGCGGTGGGAGTCTGTCCCAGTAAGAAACAGGAGCAAGGCAGGGCACACCTTGGCTGGGACACCAGTCAGTCTCAGGGCACACACAGCCAAGCACACACTCGCACCTGGGGCCACATTTCCCAGAAGCTAAATAACCTCCCCCCGCACAGTAAGCCTGTGGGCTGTGGGAGGAAATGGGAGCACCTAGAGGATACCCACTGGAAAAGTGGAGAACGCCAAAAACCCTGGAACGATCGCACCCCTGGGCCACAGTGCTGTGAGGCAGCAATGCTAAGCACTGTGCCACCACCGAGACCCTAATTCATAGCCATTAATTCCTTCAGAAAATATAATTTAGTAGTTAAGCATATATGGTTTTTGTTCATTTGAAATGTAATGATTAATCGAAACTTTGAATTATAGACATACCACTCAGAACCACTAAGCCCAAGAACTTCCCGCTTCTAAAATGAATATTTCTTTATTTTTGATGGCGTAAATGAAGGAGGTTTTAAAACACTTTGTTTGCAAAAGTTCTTTCTTAGCTTTAAGAAGAACCCGTTAATTTATTTTTTTGCTTGGTGTAGTGAGTCCATAATTATCCAGTAGTTCTAATTTAAAATGGCCATTCATACTGTATATGTCAACCTTTACATTTCACAAGCCTACAAGCACAATGGACCATAGCTAATAGCTTTGACTAGCAGTTCCTGGCCTCTGCATACTGTCTTTATGTCTTTATGCTTCTGATAAAGAATACAGTTATCAATAACACTCTTGACCGTTTGACTAGCTATCATTTCACTGTACCAATGCACAGTCTGTCTTTAGCAGTTCAGCCTAGGACTAGCAGTACAGGAGCTTTTTCTATGATGATAAACAGTACCTGAAACAAATTATTTTGCTTAAATAGTGTCAAGAATAACACAGGCATGAAAGCCACCTCCTAAAATTAATACTGCTTTGTCAGGAACATTTTGTAATTTTCAGTCCTAGACCGTGGGTAAAATGATTTAGAAACCATTTACAGCATACTATCTCCGTACTGAGAAATTGCACATGTTGAGGAAAACAACACTTTTATGATGATTAATATATTTATTTCATAATAAGGATTAGTGCTGTGAAAATATACAGAATATCAGGCCTAAAATATTGTTTATTTCAGCAGGGAAAACTCAGACCACCTACAGCTGGTATCTGTTGAATTAACAGGTACTTTTCCCCACATGGCTTCTGTTATAGATGAAGCAACATAGGAACTATGGCCTTGAAGGCATTTTGGCAGGGTGCCCAATCAGGAGGGGCTAAGATTTATGATGTGGAGGCCCGCAGTATTGATTCAGATTATCCCAAAGGGGTGTTTTACATCAACCACATTTTAAATTACACACTTTCTCCTGTGCTGCATTCTACATACATACATTTCTTTACTGTAATGCCACTGATTACTTCATATTTGACGTGATGAATGTGAATTTATTCTGTAAAGGAGGTATTTCTGAAACACAAGGAACCCTTTCTTATGTTTTTAGAATACATTACAAGCTTTGTGTTTTGACTTATGGCTTCAGAGTTTAAAACTAATATTTGAAAGTAGATTTTGACATCCGCAGTCAATTGTCAGCACTGAAAATAATGACAGATAGACTGTAACATAATTTTGTTTCGGATTTTTCGTAGTTTTACTGCAAGTTTTGAATAATAATATATATGTTTGATAGATTTTTGTGCCCTTCACTAATGCTTATTTACTGTTTAGACCTTTTTTTAAAAAAAATCTGGAGCTGTCATATTTTAATTTACCACCCAAAAAATCAGATATTAGAAACCATCTTTTGGAACTTTATTTTAAAATATCTGCCTATCATTTATTTTACCATGTTATACGTTTTTGGTGCTCCAGTTTAATATGATTTAGCTCAGCTTGAGCTTTCAGTACATCCATGAAACATTTATATTCCTTAATATAAAAAGACTAAATTAAATGTCAGGCCATCAAAATAATATGAAATGAATTAAATGAAATTGCTGAAATATGAAACACTGTCCAGTTCCTTGACTTTTTAGGAAATTTTTCTGATCAAAGTGATATTGAGAATTGTTTTTGATTGCCTAGAACATCGGTTATAGAAGACTTCTGTTATTAACTGCAGAAGGCATATTTTGGTTACTGAACCGTTCAGGGGATCTTAATAATTCTAGTGATTTATAATGATAAACTGTTATCATATCGCTTTTTGTAGCATTGCAAGTACCTTTATGCATGTACTTATAAGGCACAAAAGCACAGACATGAAATCTAGATGCTCCTCCGCAGGGGAAATAAATCTTTGTTTCTTCATCATTTAAGCATAGGAATCCCCTGCCAGACAGCACATGGGAACTAATTATCATCCTTAGTGTTTGAATTCTGTTCCCATAGTCATTGTGTTGCTGTCTTACAGTGTAGAATGAATTTCCCCAATTTCTGACTGGCTACCTTTCGCTTTTTAGTGTAATGTAAAGATAAGCTAAAATGAAACAGTATTGTTAAATGTATTGATGTCTTTTTGATCGGTCCTTCACTGTTTTATTTTACTAATTTACTGGTCATGTGCAATATTCTCTTGAGAAATAATCTCCTTGTTAATAGAAAAACTAATTTCAGTATCAAAAACCTAAGATACCCAAGTACCGGGGTGACACTGTGTTATAGAATACAATTTTTTTCATATTTGTGGGTTGCTTAGCCCATGAAATAGCGTCATTTTTGACCAACATAGATGAAACTGTCTTCAGCCTCTTCATGTAATGTCACAGAGTCCAAGTTCAAAGAAAGCTGAATATGAACAAGCATAGATGTTTACCATTCTGCAAATGTTACTGTGGTTTTGAGATTATCATCCCTACTTCGTCTGGATCATTCCAGATCTGTACGGGTATAAAAGAGAGGTGAATACAGTGCTGAGCAACGTGAGGGGCTCCTGTCAGCCCCAGTGTTGCATGTAGGAGCTGTGTGTTCTGACTTCCTGCGTCCTTGTGTCCCACAGGGCTCATTCCCAGGAAACCTGCAGCTCGTTCTGGTTCTCCGTCCCACCACACTGCTCCAGCGGACACTCTCTGACATCTTTTTCAAGTTCAGCAAAGATGAGTTTAAAATGAAGGTTCCAGTAAGTTGTACTAAAGTGATATGTGCCGTCACCACAGCCCTGAAGATTACTGTGTGTGCTGTCAGTGGCTCTAAATCTGGTTCGATAAAAAAAGAGCACCAGAACATACTGAGCCAGTTTGCTTGACTGAAGTTGTGTAGTGTTGCGCTTGTTTTAGAAGTGTGTCAGGCATGTTGCCACAATGCCTTTCTGGTCTCTGGTGATGGCTGTGGTGGGGATGAAGGTGCTGAACCCAGTGAACTGCTGGGTAGAGAAGTAGAAAGTATTTTTGGAGTAGGCCTCCTACTAAGAATAGCTGTATTCCTGTAACAGGTCATCATGCTGAGCTCAATAACAGAACTGCACAGCTACATGGACAGAGCCCAGCTGACCCAGGAGCTCGGAGGCACTCTGGACTACAGTCACGAGAAGTGGATTTCCCATCGCACAGTGAGTCCAGGCAGAACTTTGGCATGCACTATTCCTCATAATTTCTTCACTGGAAGAAATTCACTGGAAAGTTCACTGGAAAGTCCAACCCAGATTCTCATTCAAATTAAAAATTGCCTAAAAGAACTGGTCTACGACAGAGGATTTTTCAGACTGTTTTGAACCTTGTTCTTAAAGAATATCAAATTTGGATTCATCTTGTTTGCATGTTTATACGCAACTGTGACAAGGCTTGAATGCTAGTGGCTGAGACTGCTGTACCATATTCAATTAGAAAGATCATGTTGTTTAATTCCCATTGTCTGCTTTCATACTGCCCTCAAGGTAGATATGATAAAATGACTGTGTCAGCATGTTTCATTTATATGACTACAGTTGCAAAATGTTGGGTGGGGCTTACAGTAACCCCAGGTGCTGTAGTGCATAGTCATAAAGTTAAACAAATGCACTGTGCCTAAAATGATCCCGTACAAAGGGGAATGTATACACTTTGAGAATGCAGGACAGTGATAACACAACTGTCCTTTTTCCATTAGGTGCCTCTTTGAAAGCACAGAAATTGGCACAGATTAACCCCCTGATGGTTTAATGTAATGTATAGGGATTAATGATCAAGTATAGGGATTAATTCATCACATTGTACCATTGTGGGTAACAGGCTATCGAAGGTTTTGCTCTGATGGTGAAGAAGACGGCTCAGACACTTCAGTCTTTTGGGACAGAATTGGCAGAGACTGAACTACCGAATGATGTCCAGGCCACTACAAACCTTCTTGCAACACACACAGGAAAGAAAGATAAGATGAAAGTAAGTGCAGTAGACTTTAGAACAGTCAATAGTCAAACAAGGAAGTGTTTGAACAGCAAAAATGGGGTTGCCAGCACCTCCTTCAGCAAACAGAACCCTCATGTCCCTGAAACAACAAATATTATACTAGTTAAGTCTCCCATGTACTTCCTGTAGTTTTATATAGTGGTTTATTTGAGATTTAATACCTTACTTGGCTCTATGAGGCAGTCACATGTTATAGGGTACTGTATGCATGAATGTCAAAAAGTTCAATGTGATGGTGAAAATTATGTTCACAAAATTTCCTTTTGCAGGAGGATTTACAGATAGCCCTAAATCAAGGAAACAGGCTTCTGGAAAGCATTAATGAACCAGTTACAAAGGATCCTGACTATAAGATGAACCAAGATGAGCTGGAGAACCTAACTACGGTACAGAGGTGAGATGAATAGATGAAAGCACATCCCAGATGTTCCCTGCACTGGATTGTAAGTGAGAGATGAGCAAACAAAGCAGAAGTGACACAAATGATCATGCCAGTTTTTCACCCATTCAGCATCTGAATGGTTGTATTATGTTGGCCAAATTATATATATTATAGATTTGTCGTGCACCAAGCAAACATTTCAGCTCACTTCTCATAAAAAAAACACATCAGGTCTAACAAATACTTGTAACATTGTATGACGTTGTCACGTGTCTTACATAAACATACTTGGATACATTGCATTTCATATAATCCTGCATGCATACAGTACATATCATTCATTCATACTAGCATAACACTGTGTTGTTGAGCAATACTAATGACATACATTAAAATGAAAAATGGTTGATCTCACAAGCTTCAAAGTGGTGAACACCACTAAGAACTACTGATGATCTGAAATATAAAATACCTGTAATAATACTGCATCCCTTGACCGTGTGCTCTATCGCTACTCAGAAACGACCAGTAAGAGTGTCACAGAAAACGAAACTTCATGTCTCTCCCTCTTTCATCGGTTTTGTCAATAACAACAAAAATAAACTTTTGTACTGTGTTACCAGAAACACAAAACACTCAACACAGAAGTATTTACTCTAATCCTAGCTGATGCTCTTGCCTCAGTTTGAAAGAGCTTTGACTTAATGAGACGTGAGGATATTGAGGAAAATGGGCATGATTGACAGCAACAGAAATGTGTAAAGTACTGTACCTTCACCGAGCTCCAAATTTCATAGGCTGCGTTGTGCTCATGTCAGCGTTCTGTGTCAAGAAGAGAGAATTTTGTTTGTTTTCCTTTATTTTCCCCAGTTGAAAATCTGTGCCTCCTTGGAATAAACGATGACCACCTATTCATCTGCCCGAGACTTGTGTAGCGCAGATGTTTCCTTAACGATGAATCTGTCATTATCGTTGCGATTTGTCGGCGCTTCTTTCAGGATGGCTCTCGTTGTGGCAGTCGAGTCCGAACTGGACAGAATTTGGAAGGTGTTGCGTGAATACAGTGTGTGTTATAGGGGGTTAACTCTCTCGTCTGCTCTCCCCCGCTCCCCACCCCCCAGGCTGCTCTCCCAGCTAGATGAGACGGAGACGGCGTTCGACGAGTTCTGGGAAAAGCACCACACCAAGCTGGAGCAGTGTCGACAGCTCAGGCTCTTCGAGCAGAGTTTCCGGGAGGTGAGTGCAAGTCTGGCAGGAGGAGAGAGGTGGAGCGAGCTCCCTCACTGCCTTAGCCTCCTGGTGCATGGCAAAATGCGATAGGTTACATTTAGTGTATGTAATTGGAAATAAAATGTTTTTAAAAGTATTTTAGTTTAATTAAACTGTACTGTACATGCCTGAAAAAAAACACATGCTGCCATTAATGTGGTTTTCCGGCAATACCTTTTCAATTACCCTACTGTGATTTATCATTCTAAGTAGTTAATGTTAAATACACAATATAATTGACATTCAAGTGTTTTATTGAGTTTTTTTACCACAGGAACCCTTTTCTGAACACTGGATCTCTTTCGGTTTGAAAAAGCAGTTTCTGTTTCCATCGTCTTACAAATGCAGTGCTGTCTCCTAGGTCTCGGGTGTTGAGTAGATGATAACAGTGTCGTGCAGTGAAAGGATGTTTTGCCTGTATAGAAGGAGCATGATAGTGAAAAGGCTGTTCTTGTGCTCGGTCAGGTGAAGGCACAGCTAGACTTCCTGTCGGAACGCCTGGAGACGATCTCGGATGTTGGAGACAGCCCTGTGCACGTGGAGCATGTTCTTCGAGACCTGGGCAGCTACGAGGAGAAAGCATGTGTAAGAAAATTCACGCCTCTTCTGGGGGCATAGTGCTGTCAGAAAGTTGTTGATTTTCAGTTTATTTTTGAAGAAAAAAACAGGTATGTAGATTACGCAGGCTTATTTAATTTAAATCCTTCCTGAGTACCTTGGCCTGTGAGGAGATTTTGTGAATTTAAATTTCTTTACACAGGTAGAGAGAGATAATATTTAATAATTGAATGGCCCTGTTGGGGAAGTCTTATTAAGCAGACGTGTCTTGTAACAGGGCTTTTGCGTCCTGTTGTAATGGTGTTCCTTCAGACAGTTCCAGAACCAGGTGGGGTACTGCTGTTCAGATAGCAGTAGGGAGGAGAAGTCATATTGCTGCTTGACAACCATTTGGTTTCCTCTAATAAGACACAACTGGGACGAATGTGTTAAGGAAGAACCTTCTTTGCAATATTTATTACTAAAATAGTTTTAGTGTTCTTCTGAAAACATTTTCAAAAGCCTCATGTTCATGTTTGACTTTAGTATTTAGAAATCTTTGCTGGTCATATCCCCTCTCATTTTGGGTCAGTTGAATCACTCCTCTGGTATTTGACATACTGGAATTGCCTACTGTTATTAAACACTCACATGGACACTGATGGGACAAGGGGATACACTTTGTAACAGCTCACTGGGGTAAGCCCACCCCTTACAGAAAATCAGTCCCGGTACCAGTTTGTTTTCATCTTGTTGCCAATAGGAGATTCTGGATTGGGCAAAGGATCTGGCGTGTCAGGGCGACCTGCTAATCCAGAGCAATCACTATGCTGTGGACTCAATCCTGCCCAAGTGCAGTGAGCTGAGGAGTGTGACCGAAGAGCTGGCCGCCGAGATGAAGATGAAGAAAATCCGGCTTCACAAGTCAATGGAGCTGCACCAGACTCTTGAAAAGGTTATGCAGAAACTAGTAGAACTACCTACCTTTGCCGTTAATGCATGAAATGTGATTCCTAAAGTTTGTTGCAACATAAAAAAGACACAAGTGGTACAGGTACAGTAACTAGAATAACTGTACCTAGAAAAATGCGAAGCCCTTTATAGGCCATTTACAAGTCTGTTTCAGCAGTCATTCAAGACAGGAGTTACTGCTGGGAAATAACTAATGTTGCACCTGTCCATAAAAAAGGTGACAAAACCAAACTAAAAGTACTTATAGACCAATAAGTCTTAATTCTATTACACACAAAGCTGTGGCAATGATAATTAAAAGTAAACTAAGAATGTCATCTGTATGGTAATAAGATTCTGAGGGATTATTAGCACAGAATGAAAAAAGGTAGGTATTAATAATAATAAGCTTTATTTTATATAGCACCCTTTAAAGGTGGCTTTTTTATGCACTTAACAGAATGACAACAACAACAAAAAACAAAATAAGCCAAAATAAAAATACACAATGAGAGGAGACCGTAGATGGGGATACTGAATATGGTAGGAACAAAGGGGTATATAACAGAACCAGTTAAGTAAAGGCCCTTCTGAAGAAGAAGGTTTCGAGTCTAAAACCTTGTTAACATTAAATGTTAACTTATGCTTTTTAAAGAGGCAACAGTAGAAATGGATACAAAACATCCTTTTGAAATATCAATTCTCAAACTTTAGGCAGCAGGTATTCAAGGTAATGCATGAACTTTATTTAAGATTTGATTAATGGGCAGGGACCAGCATACAGATAATCCGTAAAGGCCCGAATTGAGATCATGCAAGAAGCAGAGTACCTCGCTGTTCTGTATTAGGATAACTGCTCTTCCTTATTGCCCTGGTGTAGTAAACAAACTGATTGATTTCTCAGTTTATTCCAAACAAGGACAACTGCCAAGTGCTGAAATAAAATGCATTGAAAAAAGCTGTACCAAATTCAGGACCGAGTGAACACCTGGCAGGTAATTTTTAATGTAGGCATGTGCAGGGTATTAAATGCAGATAGTTAAAACATAAGTACAAGTATAAAATGGAAATGCTAAGTTTGAGAAGGTCACATAAACAAAAGAAGTAGGAGATTATGTGGATGGTATGAAATGGTGATGGTTTAAATTTAAAACCTAAGAACAGGTTTCAGTTATTTGTGCAAAGAGTTGTATACAGCTCATACAAATTGCTCAGCCATATTGTTAGAGGTTCAATATTGCTACTGTTAGATACCCTGGATTCTTTGAAGAAAGAGCAGGATGAGACCTTAACTATTGAAATGAAAGTATACTTGATGGGCTAAATAACCTCCTGTCGTTTGTAACTTTTATATTCATAAGATTAAAAGCAGTAGAAATAACATGCTGTATGTTGCTTTTGTGTGCTGTCCTGTGGTTTCCTGAATGTTTTGGTACACAGCTACAGAATCCTGAATGACTTCACAGTTCAGAGACTTTAACAAAACACTATGACTACAGTGCAAGAGTTGTTAGACCAGTTTTAAAATAACTTTCTCCACTTTAGAGTGACATTGAATTGTAAAATACAGTTTACTCTGCAGCTGATGCATTTCTTTAACTTTGGAATAGCTCTAATCATGTGCCTTTATCAAACAAGGATCTATGACACTAAATGAAATTGAAACTGTGAGCAATTCTATTTACAATAAAGCTGTTTAATCTTTGAGTGCTTACACTGAACATAGCTTAATTGCCCTGCTAGTTCTATAGAACACCACTGAGATGGGTCTTTTAGTTCTGCTTTTAATTCCACTAAGATCTCTTTTAATTCTGAATTTGTAGAATCCTCATTCCATTGTAAAATGTCAAACTTTAAATTAGATCTAATAAGATAGAACATGAATATTTTATGAAATTACTTTGCACAGAATGTTTTCTGACCATTAATTAAACTGGTCGGCAAGTTCCTTACTGCTGGAGTGGCCAGTGTCTTACGTTTGTGTCTCTAGCAAAACCAATGTTTGTCTCTCTCAGTGTCTGGTTTGTCTTTTATTTCTCTGATGGAGCGTCTCTTTTTTTTTTTTTACCTCTACAATACATTTTTCTTGGGACTGCTTTATTCCCTTACCCTCCTCCCGGTTCGACTGAAAACCTCCCTCTTAAATGTCCAGGCTGCAAAGTGGTGTGATGATGGCATCTACCTGCTGGCCTCCCAGCCTGTGGACAAGTGCCAGTCCCAGGATGGAGCCGAGTCCGCGCTGCAGGAGATCGAGCGATTCCTCGAGTCCACTGCGCAGCACGGGCTCCCAGACCTCGGCGCGGTCTGGAGAGAGTACGAGTCCGTCCTCAACCAGGAATTTCGGGTGAGCCCCTTTTCCGTGGTGCGGTAGGCTAGGTTCATTACCACGCATGAAAGATGGCTTGTCTTTAATCCCCCTTACCCTAACTCTGGGCATAGTCCTGTAACGTCAGGGCCTGATGACTGGTTAGCCGGCATCTTTGCTCTGAAATCCTGCGGAATCTGTGATTCTCTGTGACCTTTGGCTTTGACAAACCCGTTGCTAGAATTTTCCCTGCAGAAAACCTGTAATGTGATTACAGCAGTTCTCAGAAAGGGAAATGACATAGGAATGTGTGTCAATTTAGTCTAGAATCAATGTCATTGTATCGTTCATACGGCACGTGCTTGAACTTTTTGTAAATCATTTGCTCTTTATGGGGATGGCATGTTTTGTTATAGACTTACCTCAGGAAATAATTTGTTTATTCTTTGCGAGCGCTGGAGTACGTGTTGTGTTCATTTTATCTTACAAGTATTTTGTCGGCCCCACTCTCATCAGTTTGTGGAAAGAGTACTCTCTGTAAGTACTTTAATAAGGCTCTGTATAGGCACACACAGAACAAGCCCACCACTTGAACATGCAAGCGTGTTCCCCGCTTCTAGTGAGTGGAGGTATTGAGAGCCTCTGTCTTGCTCTTGCTTTGCCCCGCAGGACCATGTCCAGAGAGTGTTCCAGAAACAGGAGGGGATGCAGGAGATGTTTGAGAAGCGCCGGGTGAGCCTGAAGAAACTGGCAGCAAAGCAGACCCGCCCTGTCCAGCCAGTGGCTCCCCGGCCTGAGGCCTTCCTGAAGTCTCCTCACACGTCCCCAGGTTAGGCCTGCACTGACCAGCCTCTCCACTACCGAGTCTCTCTCTATTAGGAGCCTTTAGGAGGGGATCTATCTCCCTCTAGTGGCAGCTTTGCAGTAATTACAAAATTGTGTGTATTCTATATGGGTGTTTGAAGTTTCAGTTTAATAATAATAATTACACTTATATAGCGCTTTTATGGACACTCCATTCAAAGTACATTATAGGTAATGGGGACTGCCCTCCACCAGCACCAAAGTGTAACCCCACTTGGATGATGCGACAGTACTCTCCCCACACACCAGCTCTCAGTGGGGAGGAGAACAGAGTGATGAAGCCAGTTCAGAGATGGGGATTATTAGGAGGCCATGATTGGTAAACGCCAGGGGGAAGTTTGGCCAGGATGCTGGGGGTAACACCCCTTCTCTTTTCGCAAAACACCCTGACCACAGAGAGTCAGGAGTTTGGTTTTCCCCGTCCCTATACTGGGGGCATTAGGACCCACATGGACCGCAGGGTGAGCGCCCCCTACTGGCCCCACTAACACCTCTTCCAGCAGCAGCCTTAGTTTTTCCCAGGAGGTCTCCCATCCAGGTACTGACCAGGCTCACAACTGCTGAGCTTCAGGGGGTTTCCACTTGTGAGATGCAGGGTGAAATGGCTGCTGTACCTGTGTACAATAAAATGCTTACTTTCCTAATGTAACAGATGTAAGTATGTATAGATATGAGGCTGGACTCATTACGTTTTTCCATCACACACCAACTCCTTTCCCATGCCCAAAGTTTTAATTGCGTAATTATAATCATTAATATTCTAGGATGATTATTGGTTCGGTAAACTCACAGAAATAGTATTGTTAATTTACCTTTGGTAGTTTATTTGATTTGAAAAGTATTCAAAGTATTCTCTCTCAGTCTTTGTTACTGTGTCTCTTTTTTAGGATATTCCAGAGGCACTGAAAAGACCTTCTCTTTAGACAGTGATGCCCTACAAAGACTCAACAGTAGAACGGTAAGCAGGGTTTCCTCTCCTACTTGTTTCTGTGATTACAGCCAGATATCTATGATTGCTAGAGAGAATTATGCCTTGTCTCAGCTTTTTGAGAGTCCTCATAAAACATCAACACTAAACATGGAAAATTTTTCTGTGATGAAAAAACAGTTACGCTAAATTTCAGGTTTTATTAATTTAGAAGTCTTTAAGTATCTTAGCTATTACTAATTTTCATACCTCTCTTTCTAAAGAGGGTGTATCTTTCTGTTTTGGTATCTTGATGCGAGGTAGACTTTTTATTCACAGTGACAGTACTGTGGACTGTGAAAGAATCTCAGCACCCTCCTTTATAATTTAAGCAGATGAATGTATTTTTGGAAATGGGATTTCTAAATTTGAACAGCTTAAGACCAGTACTGATTTTTGTATATCTCATAGTGCAGCTAAATTGTGATTTGAGGGGTATCTGTATTGTTCTTCAGGGCAGCAGTCAAATAAACAGTGGGGGCCGGCATGACTCTCTTTCCGAAGAAGAGGAGAATCTGGCTGTGCTGAGGAGGTGCGAACCTACAGTGGTACAGGAACAATACCATACAGAGCCTTGCAAAAGTGTTCCGTCACTTCCTGTAGTGCCCCGTTTCATGAAATGACAAAATGATGCATGCACATCTTTTAAATGAAATATTTCATTCAAAAACTGAATTCAAGACTTCTAAGGGAGAAATAGGTTACAGTAGATATCGACAAAAACTGAAGAGAACAAACTTAAATACAAGTATTCAGGCCCAGAAACTCAGTAATTTGGCGGAAGCACTCAAGGCTTTTATGTATTTTTGTGTACCTCTCTATGAACTTTCAGTGCATAGTTTTGTCTTTCCTTTAGATATTCAAAAAGTATATTGCTATTTTTATTCATTTCTTTCCTGTTTTGAGTTACAAATCCCCTAATTACAGGACTCTTAATAAGAATTTGTGAACACTGTTTTTTAAATGAACTGTAAAATGAAAATAAATCTCTGAGCTCCACATCAGAAAGCTTACAGGAATGATTTTGTTTTGCAGGCATGTGATGAATGAGCTGCTGGAAACCGAGAGGGCGTATGTAGAAGAGCTACTGTGTGTGCTGGAGGTATGCATCACTGTATACTACTGCTTATTCATCTCATTCAGCTCATTCATTGTACATAACAGCTCAGACCGAGTTGAACATATTGACAAAGCTTTTCCTGTCAACTTTTGGTGAAGCAAAGAAAGGAGACTGGTTTTGTTATTTACAATGAAAAAATAAACCATTTAACATGGGGAGGACAACACAGTACGCTCACCACACACATGCTATCAGTGGGGAGGAGGTAAAGGGATTGGTAAAGGCCAATGGGAAATTTGGCCAGGATGCCAGGGTAACACCCCTACTCTTTTCAAGAAATACCCTGGGATATGTCTCATCGGAAGGACAGCACCTTTTTATTGTTTAGTGTCTCCGTCACTATACTGGCGCATTAGGACCCTCACAGACAGGGGGTGAGCGCCCCCTACTGGCCTCACTTACACCACTTCCAGCAGCAACCTTAGCTTTCCCAGGAGTCTCTCATCCAGGTACTGGCCAGGCTCACACCTGCTGAGCTTCAGTGAGCTGCCAGGTGTGATTTGCAGGGCGAGGGTCATATATCTGTTAGCATTGTGAAGTCATTTTCACAGCTGATGGGAATACTGTCCTCATCCTTGCTGCAGGGGTACGCGGCCGAGATGGACAACCCACTGATGATGCATCTGATGCCAGCGGCACTGCTGAACAAGAAGGATGTTCTCTTTGGAAACATGACCGAAATCTACGAGTTTCACAAACGGTGAGCTCAGCGCCATCATGTCCTGTATTGCCATGCTTTACTGCAGAGTGCTCGTGGAGCCTTATGGGGCGTTGCCCTGTGTTTTCCAGGATATTTCTCAGAGAACTGGAGAATTACACGGACTATCCTGAACTTGTAGGGAGGTGTTTCATCAAGAGGGTAGGTAAATCTGCCAAGTACTGGTACTCTTAAATCAGATGTATAGTTCAGTTCAGTTTATTGTCATATGCACAAGTGCAATGAAATGCTTATAACTAAATTAAATAATTCATTATTTAAAATGTATCCTATAAATTATAAATAATGTCAGTTCAGGCAGTATTATGTGTTGAGTCCATGCTTGTGATCAACATCATATTCCAGACTGTATTTAGAAATCAGAGGAAGGGTCAGGGATATTCAGCTGTTATTCTAACTAGAATTCTGTAGAAGTTTGTTGTCATCATTTTAAAGCATTATGCCAGAGACAATATAAAAACTCTTAATACACAACCAGTTTCATGACCTGCTCCTCGCTCTTTATGTAAATGAAATTAGAACAAAGGTGAATATGAGCACAAGAACAAACCCAAATATTAAGGACAAGCAGTTCTTAAATAATCCTTAGTCTCTCTTTTGTTATTGTCTTGGTTTATTCCTTGTATTTGACTATTAATAATTTGACATTTTGCATTTAGATGAAAGATTTGCAGATTTACGAGAAGTACTGTCAGAACAAGCCCCGGTCTGAAAGCTTGTGGAGACAGTGCTCCGATTGTGCCTTCTTTCAGGTATCTTGCTTTCTGTCTGCATAAAGATCCCAAGACACCAGAGAAAAAGAACAAGCGCAGCTCAAACTCTCAGATGTGATTTAATTAATCCATTGGTTGATTTTGCAGTCAGTCAATATTGTAGAAAATATGTACAATTAGTACATAATAGCCAGGATTATCAATTGTGTATTTCAATAAAACAAAAAAAGAAGAGGAAATCTCCCCAAAAATTATAAAATAATATAAACTCACACAGAACAAGACTTTGTAACTCAAGATACTTTTATTATGGTCTTAGTGTCGTCTCAAACTGATATCTGATAGAAATGTGAAGCCATAAGAAAACCAGTTGTATTAGTTATTTTCTTCGTGTACAAAGATGTCAATTCTGTCTAAATTTTGTTTTGTTTTTCAATAAAGTGGGCCTGTCTCATCTTCTGCTTTTTTGTTCTTGCAAAAAGGAGTGCCAGAAAAAACTGGAACATAAATTAGGTTTGGATTCATACTTACTGAAACCTGTTCAAAGGATAACAAAATATCAGCTGTTATTAAAGGTTAGTTGTTTTATTGATTGTGTTATTGCAAGGAACTCTGGTAATATGCATGATATTGATAGTGGGAAAACACATTTTCAAATAAAATTGAAAGTGTTTTTAATTTGATGCCAATTTTTGTAAGGAGACTAGGTCTTATCCATGTTTCTAAGGACAAGAACAAAAAGTATATTAATCATGTTTTTTTTATAATTTTAAATATTTTTAGTCATTTTTTATATTTCACACCATAAAACATTTGTTATATGTAAGTAACAATAGAAACCCGTCTTAATTTTTAAAATACTGTGGGAATTTTCACATTAAGTAGGTAGTTTCTAGACTTGTCATCCTTACACCTCAGTAACTATACAGTAAAATAGGTACTGTATATACGGTATAATACTAGATGGATCAAGTTACTTAGACACGAAAAATTAACTTCACCACTAAAGGCTACTTTTGAATCTCGCAGACGTCTGGGCCAGAATTTTGTTCTTCTCATTGTGTTGTCCTTCTCGAATCAGGAACTTTTGAAGTACAGTAAGAACTGTGAGGGAGCAGAAGATCTGCAGGATGCCCTGGCAGCCATACTGGGCATCTTGAAGGCCGTCAATGACTCTATGCACCTCATCGCCATCACGGGATATGAGGTCAGGCTTCGCTTGTCTGCCTCATCTTAGAATCAGGAACGAGACCATCAGTGAAACGACTTGACTCAGAAACTGTTTGAAAAGAAAACTAACCCCAGCCTCCTGATACAAGTTGTTCTTGTTCCGGGATGCCCATGCCTCTCACGGACTGGACTGTTGGTGTGCGTGCCGTAATTTTAAGTGTTTTAAGACAACTGTGAGAACTTTATTCTTCACAGAAAACAAACATCCCAGGAAGGTACGACCTCTCTCTCAGGAAGGTGGATGTATTTCTTGAGCTGAAAGCGTGTATGCTGTTTTTGATAGTTAACTGTCATGCCGTTATTATTTATGGCTGCTGATAGATATGATACCTGGACGCCTAACGTGTTTTTAATCAACATCCGATCAGCTTCTTGAGTGTTCTTGTGGAGGACAGAATCTTGCGGATTCAAAACGGATGGAAAGAGGGTTGCGGGTTGGGGTTTTCACCGGCTGCTTTGTTTCTGGCGGCAGGGTAACCTTGGTGAGCTTGGCAAGCTGCTGATGCAGGGCTCCTTCAACGTGTGGACGGAGCACAAGAAGGGCCACTCAAAAGTGAAGGACCTGGCGCGCTTCAAGCCCATGCAGAGGCACCTCTTCCTGCACGAGAAGGCCTTGCTGTTCTGTAAGAAGAGGGAGGAGAACGGGGAGGGCTACGAAAAAGCTCCTTCCTACAGCTTCAAGCATTCCTTAAACGTACGTGAGGAACTGAGCTGCAGTTAAAGGGTTGAAAATGCCCTTTTGTGTTTTTTCCTGTTCCCATGTACTGTGTGCCTGTGTACCATGTACTGTATATGTACAGTACCAGCAGCCCTATCACCCTGCAACTCACAACTGGCAGCCCACTGAAGCTCAGCAGGTGTGACCCTGGTCAGTACCTGGATGGGAAAGCTAAGGTTACTGCTGGAAGAGGTGTTAGTGGGGTCAGTAGGGGATGCTGACCCTGTGGTCTATGTGGGTCCTAATGCCCCAGTATAGTGACGGGGACACTATACTGTTAAATGTCGCTGTCCTTCAGATGAGACATAAAACAGAGGTCCTGACTCTCTGTGGTCATTAAAATCCCAGGGTGTTTCTTGAAAATAGTATGGGTGTTAAACTGGCATCCTGGCCAAATTCCCCCTGGCCTTTACCAGTCATGGCCTCCTAATAATCCCAATATATGAACTGGCTTAATCACTCTGCTCTCCTCCCCACTGATAGCTGGTGTGTGGGGAGTGTACTGGCACACTCTGGCAGCTGTCACATCGTCCAGGTGGTGCTGCACACTGGTGGTGGTGGTGGGGGAGCCCCCATTACCTGTAAAGCGCTATATAAGTGCAAGGAATACGTATTAATTAATTATTGTAGGGTGCCATTTCTCATCACTACCCAGCACCTTCTCCATTCTGGCCAGTTCAGACTACACTTCTTGATTGCTGACATTTTGGTCTTGTATTCTTCTGATTTCACTACGATATATGATTCTGCTTGAGGGCGGGGCAGAGGCGCAGTGGTTAACTGGGGCCCTGGGTTCAAATCTGTCTGTGAAGGGTTTGTGTGTTCTCCCCGTGTTCCTGTGGGTTTCCTCCAGGTGCTCCAGCTTCCTCCTATAATCCAAAGGCATGTTGATAGGTTATTTAGCTTCTGGAAGAATTGACCCTGAGTGTGAGTGTGTTTTTGTGTCTACAGTATGTGATGGACTGATGTCCCGTCCAGGGTATTTCCCTGGTTTAGTGTCCGTTTTGTTTTACCAGATGAGTGCCGTAGGAATCACAGAAAATGCGAAGGGAGACAATAAAAAATTTGAAATCTGGTGCAACGCGAGAGAAGAAGTTTACATCGTGCAGGTGGGTAAACATATTAAAACGGGCCAGTTTATACTCCGAAAGCTTTGAGGTCTGGGGTACAGTTTGTACTTCAGAACGTTACAGGTTCCCACATGGTTCCAGCACTCATTCCTACCTGGGATGAGAAACATTTTCTGTCACTGAGAGTGGCTGTATCAGAGCCAACCACGGACTCCTCTGGGAGTCCTGTTCGCAGTGGGGTGTCTGAGGGTATGAACTGTGTGTCACTGAGTGTTGTTATACCAGAGCCAACCACAGACTCCTCTGGGAGTCCTGTTCGCAGTGGGGTGTCTGAGGGTATGAACTGTGTGTCACTGAGTGTAGTTATACCAGAGCCAGCCTCAGAATCCTCTGGGAGTCCTGTTCGCAGTGGGGTGAATGAGGGTCTGATCTGTTAGTGGGCTCGGTGTGTACTCAGCTGTCAGTGGCCTATTCATTCAAATAAATAAAGCCCCAGCCCCAAGGGACAGTGTATATGGGAATCTCCATTTCTCAGAAGTGAGGGTTGGATTTTGATTAAGCAGCAGATTGTGCTTCCTACCAAGCTGGAGCATAAAAGAGAAGACAAATTATTTTTGAGGATTTCCAGTCATTTATGGTAATAAGCAAAGCTTGTCTTTTAAAGTAAAAGAGATACAGAAATGAAGGATCTGATCTTTTCCTTGTAGGCTCCTACTCCAGAAATCAAAACTGCATGGGTAAATGAAATCAGAAAAGTGCTAACTGGACAATTGAAGGCCTACAGGGGTAAGAATTTACTTCATTTACTTGTTAGTTTGAAGGAAGAAATGGGGAGTTTCAGACAAGCTACTGAGTGATAACTGAAGTAAAGAAGATTATTCAAGCAAAAAATATCAATATGTTGTACTTTAATCCTAATTATTGTACCCTTTTTTTGACAAAGTAAATTTATTGGCTTATTTAATAGCTTTGGAATTATTTTCCTTGTACGGTAGTGTAGATGTTGTTCTACCTGTTAAAGGAAAATCACACTGGATTTTTGCAGTGACTTTAGCACTGAATGTAATTTTTCATTTCATAGCATACAAAGATGTAGTCCTGCCGTGTATAAGTAAGTTGTTTTAATGTAATTTCCCATTAAAATATTATTTCTACAAAGGCTAGTGTTTTGCCCAACTTTTTGCCCAAGTGTTTTGCCCAAATGCTAAATGAGTGATTCTGATTTAGGTTTTTTTACAACTGAAGAAAATATGTTTTATCAAGGTCTCACATTTGACAAATTGGCTTTCCTTTTTTTATAACATAACGTGTATTTAAGATTTGCATTTCAAAAAATATTTTAATGAGAATTCTTAGGGTCTATTTATCTTAAAGCACATCAAATTACCAAATTAAAACTTGCCTAGTTAGCCAGTACTAACTGTACTAAAACACATATTCTGCAAAAGATATCTTTCTGTCCTTTGTGCTTTTATCAATTTCTTTTTCTGCTTCAATTTAGAAGCGAGGCAGAACAGAACGTCAGATCCGGCATCTCCAAGTTCAGCAGTTCCCACTGCTGGGAGCTCAAGGTGAGTTCTGCAATAAGACGAGGTTTTGGGGAATGGATTGCTTTGAGCAGAGCAGACCCAAAGGGAGGATTTGTCTATTCGGCAACACAGCTAAAGCACTTTTCTTTTCCAACCAGTGCTGTAGCACAGCTCTTCTGACGTGTTCATGCGTGTTATTTTTGTCTAGAGTGTGCATTTGTGGAGGAGTTTCCACTTGCTTTTGTGTTGATTGTGTGTTTTTGAAATAAAAAACAGTGGCAGGATGATTAGAGGTGTATTACAGGTTCATTGAAAATACTGTCAGCATTGAGATGTTCGAATACCACATCTCTATATCTCACATGCAGCCATTTATTTTTTCAGGAGCAATATTCATTGGTATTCTTTAATTTGTTGAAAAAGAAAATAAACAGATTATCCAAAGAAAAACACTAAATACAAAAATGAAACACAAGCAGTAAATATCTAGAGTAAAAGATGGACTTTTACTATATTTGATCATTTTATTTTTCTCAATTGTGTTTGTTTTTGTATTCCTATCACAGTTGTGTTTTTTATTAATAAATCTTTAATTATTCCTTTTATGTTTGCCCATGCTAATGACCCCACCACAAAAATCTTTTTCTTTCGGTTTTGATAATAATCCCTTCTTATACACAACTGATAAATTAATTACAAACATGGCATTCCCTTTTATTGGAACTTGCATACATTTCTAAATGTATGTTGATTAGGTTCCTTATTAATCTGTCCTTTTCAACAAATGCTTTTGGCTGATCAATTAACTAGTCTTTTTGTTTTGTGTATTGCGGCAGTCCTTTAAAGAGCAATCTGAAAAGTGTGAGGAAAGGTGAGGAGAAAAAGGGTGAGCCTACCACCCCTGATGGCTGTTTGAATTCTTTGTCATCTCCCAGGTATATGGAGAAAGGAAAAGGTAAGTGTTACAGATGTAGATCAGAACGCAGACCTTCCTGCTAGTTCCTGTATTTTGAAGTGGAACATAACATCTGCTTTTTGGCACAGACCTCCCTCTGAAACAAATTTAACAGATGACTAGTTCTTAAATAAAAATAAAGTATTTGTAAAAGGCCACTAAAGGCTTTTCCACATCCTTTACTTACTAGTGAAAGGAGTGGCTAATAATTAAATCCACTACCTTTACTGTTCAAAATAACAACTAGCAAGACTAAATTGGCACTATGAACTGAACTAATTGGTCGTCACCCTTTGATTTGTACTGCAGGATTTAAAAAAAACAGAAATCTAGTTTGACTGGCTAACTCCTCTTCCACTGGACTGCTTTCTTCTCTTTTCTCTTCCTTTCCTCCACTCTCTAAAACTGATTTTTTTCCACCTTTTTTTCTCGTTTCTTCCTGCCCGGCCTGTTTCGTCCACGTCTCTCTAATCCTTCCTTCAAGATGATGCGGCAACTAGCCCTACTTCAGAGCGTTCTGCGGTCGCTAAAAAACGCTTTACTTTACAGGGCTTCAGCAACCTAAAGAGCCAGAAAGGTAAAGTCAGGCAACAGAAAGTCCATCTAGTGGTCTGCAAAGTTGTAACCGAAACCTAGCCGAACCACAGCCACTAAGATCACAATCTGACTGTCCTAACAATTGTACGTTATTAATTCTAGCATAGTTCTCCATCTCAGTAGATTGTATCTGCAGACCTCTTTAACTGCTCAGTGCAGGTAGTCTCCACATAAGATTACTAGCTTTGACCTTTGGAGTACAAATGGGATACTTATTGTACCGTGCTTTCCTTAACAGAGTCTCCGCTTCCTACTGTTAAAAGTCGAACATTACCAATGGCACTGCTCTCACAACCAGGTATCCCTGTAGTCCTAGTTTAGACTAATCTAATGTCGCCCAGAGTTTAGTGTGTAGCTTCTGTACCTGTATTCTGTGGTGTCCAATTTTGTTCTAGTTCTGTATTTAACCCCCCCATCCCTGTGATGAGATTCTGACGTCCTTTCAATAATGTTTTCCTGTTGAATTTCCCCCAAAAAATCTTCCCGCTCACTTGTCAGGTTAAATCACCTCTTTTTAGGTAGCGAATCCAGTTAGTGTACCCGATGTGGTGTGTATTTGTAAGGAAGGGAGTTCTCTTTTCTTTCTGCTTCAACTGCTTCTTTCTTGTTCCATGTCTTCCTGTAATGTGTCTACAGGATCTCCTACTAGCCCTGACAATAAGACAAAACGGCACGAGATAAAGAGTGACCCCACTCCGTTTGGCTTTAGAGGTATTCTGTCCAAAGCGGCTCGCTGTTTCCAGTTCCCATTCGTGCTTTCGACAGCTGCTTATTTTAAGGGGGCACCGCAATGCCCAGCACTGGTGTGATGATGTGAACAGTGTAACTGAGGACATACAGTAGTGTAGGAAGTGCTGTTGAACATGCTGGTGCTGGTAGCCTGGCACTCGAACCAGCTGTCTTTTGGAATACATGTTCACTCACATCATGTGCTGGGAATGGCTGGAGACATTTGTCCTGCGAAAGCTGTTGGGGAATACATTTTGTTGGATGTTTTCATGCTTTGTTTTCTTTATGTTCAGTTTTTATCTTTGATCATTCCATTTAATGTTTTAAGTAATTTGACGTGGTTCTATGTGTTTAATAAGCCTAAGAGATATTTCTTACCTGTTTAACTGCTTTTTTCTTATGAAAAATCAATTCACATTTTACTGGTGTGAATTTTGTGGTTCAGTGAGTAAAGGTGGAAGGTTCACACCTGTTTATGGTACATTGGGTTAATGCAACTGATGTTGAAAGGGTCATTTTATTTCCAAAATCATATATTCCATACCTGGTTAATAACAAATATTTTTATGCTTAGAAGTACAGAGTGGAAAAACTGCTATGTATGGAATAGATTTGAACACACTGTGCTGAGAAACAGGCACAGACCTCTTTTTACAGCAGAGAAACCGGTCAGAAATAAAAACTGAAATGAAAGAACGCTTGTTTTAGCTTCGGTTTGTGAGGATTAAATGTACAAAAAACATGAGAACTGACGGGTGGTTTTCCCACAGATGCAGGTCCACACACAGCAATGAGTCGTGTAAAATGGCTCAGTACCTCTAGTCTTTTGCAAGCAAAGAGGAGAGGTAAAATGCCTAATTGTGTGGATGACCTTGACTTTTAATCAAGTCGCTTTGCAAAACAGGGCAAAAACAAAGGACTCTTTAATTTAGAGAGATGATGCCTCTTCAATAAGAAATCTGATATTTCCTCAATTTCCTTTCACTGTCTCACATGAAAAACATAATTTTTCTTTCTCTTGGGATTTTGAAGTTTAATTCCAGCTTTGTAGGATGTGATCTTTTTTTCTATTTTGACCAATAAATTATTTGCAAATCAGTAGCTTAGAAATCCATCAATAAGAATACCCTGTATCCCAATGCCATTGAACTTATAGAGTGTCAAAGTTATTTATAAAATGTATTTAAGATATTTTCCCCCCCAAAATTATACATTTCTTGAATTAAAATGTAAAAATAACATTGCTCTAAAATTATATGGAAACTTTTTTCATTCATTTTGTTCTTCATCGATTTACAGTTTTGCCTAGTGTCCCTAGTGCATACATTAGCTGTGGAGCCCCTTCCTTCATCAATAGGATTAAAGTTTTACTTAAGTGATTTGGACAATGTGTTTTTTTTTATCACCAGTCAATTACAGCACTGCTGTCTCAGCAACATACTCATCAGCATGCAACAACGATAGACCTGAAAATTACATTTTAGCCTATTTTTTTTTTAATTTTGACATTTGAATTCTAAAGTATCGTTTTGGACTTTAGAAGAGCTAGGAATTGTGAACAGATTGGGGAAAAATGCATGTTTTGGGTTCATACTGCCCTGTTTCTCCTTCAATGGGTATGGCATGCAGTGCTGATACACACTGGACTGTCATCTGGTGTTTCACTCTGTGCTGCAGACTTCTTGCCTTTTGAACTCCTCACCTGCATCACATACACATGCAAGAATGACGATATCCAAGGAACACACTCCAAAAAGGTCATGCACCCAGTGATCACAACCTAGGATTTTTGTAGTCCAGATGTAAAACAAACCAATGTTTTTATTATATTTTAAAAGTTTTACAACAATCATTTAATTGCAGAATCAATATGAAATTGCATTTTGTAAAATAATCAATGAAATCATTTTAATCACTCCATTCTAAGCAACATCTTTTTGTACATTGATGAAATTCTGGATTCTAACAGCAAATTACTACTGTAAGTCTCTGAATCATCTATGTAAAGGTGTGGGTTCCTTGCTGTATATACTGTAGCTCTTGATGTTCAAGGGATGCTTTTATTGACACGTCCACTGCCAGTCACAAAGACCACTGACTGCACTAGCATGTATGGGTGTGGTGCATGTTCATGCTTTGTCATTTTTCATGGATCTTGCTTCGAGCTGTAAATGGCACTAAAGTCACGCCACCTGGTCGTCTCTCTCCAGGCTGGGCCAAGCAGTCCCATTCCCTGGACGTGGCGGGTGAAAATGATGGCTACTCCAGTGGGGAAGATCCACTGAACTCCTCTGACGCAGAGGAAGAGGGAGGCAAAAAACTGGTATGTCAGAGGTTCTGTTTAAAGAGCAGCTGTTTCTGGACATTGCGGCTGTTAGATCAGGGTTTCTTAGTTCGGCCTTTTATGTCCATCGTTGGAAGCAAATTGCAACAATGTGCATTTTGCGTGTGATGAAAATCCAAGCTTTTGTGGTCTGCTTTGCATGGAGTATATTTGGAAAGGTTGTTAATAAGGAATCCTGTCTTGTTACCGAAAGGCTTCGGAAATTCATTTTCCATGAATTAGTACATCCCAGACATTTCTGTGTCAAAACATTATTCTGCTGCGAGATGTAAAAGGGCTGAACAAACATGGTATTTGGACAAGCAGAGCAGCTTTAAGTAAAATGTCACATTACTCTGAATGTTCGCTATAAGGACCGAATGTATACAATACTGACAAACACTTTGTGACAGCACAGATAGTAGATTTCTTGTGAATTTGGCTTTTGACTGTAAACTATTTCCATGGTTTCCTTAACTTGTTGGACTTATTCTACCATCATAATTACACATGCCGTACTAGGGCAAATAAAAACACAAGAGGGACCTGTACATAGTTATTCCCTTATTCCCTGAAGTAAATAGATATATGTAGATTTGTTGCAGGGTACATGAGACCTTTTGGCATTGACTCTACTGCAGGCACAGAACATTTGGAAAAAAGTTGCTGTTGACACTTTTTTAATTTTGAAGTACATGTGTATTTTTATTTTATACACGTAAAGCTAATTGTCTTTTTTTTCTGTCAGACTCCTGGTAAATACACTGTAGTAGCTGATTATGACAAAGGAGGGGCAGAAGAGCTCGCCGTTAAGAGTGGAGAAGTGGTACAGCTGATTCGTGAGGGAGAAGATGGCCAGTGGTGAGCACTGACTGAAATCTAGGCTGGCTCTTTTGATAAAAGACATTGAGAACCTTAATTCAGGGCAAACACTTGATTCTCTTTTGTATCTGCTTGGAACAAGGAGTAAATATTATGGAAAATGTATTTGAATACAAATATAATACCAGGAAAGTTACTGAAATTAAATTGAAATCAGCTACAACATTTGTGAGTACTAAACTAAGCAACGGCCTTCTTTTAACTAAGGCGGTAATACAAATATATCCTCTTAGTGACGACCTTGAATTAAAATGCTTTTTTTTAAAAAAAAAAAAGGACTTTATAGTTGTTTTCAACTTAGATACATGACTACACTTCGCACAGGACAGAATGAGGACTCACAAGTGTGCCCCTCCAGCATGCCCTGTCAGAGCCACTTGTCATTCAATACACTATAAATTCCACAGTGCCTTAGAGGAAGGAGAGTTAGTCCTGACTGAAGTAATGTACCATCTCTGAAAGCTTGCAGGCTCCTCACAGGTTCCAGGAATTAGTGTTCTGCTGAGAGCTGAGGAGGCACCAGCTGCTAAATGTCCACCCAACTCTGGTGACACTTAGCCAAGTTAGTCACATGACCCAGACTCAAACTAGCAGTGTCAGAACCCTAAAGCACAACCTGCCTTTGGATTTGAGTTCCCTTATTAGTTGAGCCACTCATGAGCACCCAAATTACATTGGTAAGTGCAGAAACCTCAAAACAAAGTAAGTCCATTTGTTTTGGTCTAAGGTAAAATTTATCAAAACTTAACTAAAATTCAAATGGGTTTGCACAAAACCTTTATATGCTCATGTCTAAAATATTCATTTTTCTGTTATCTGGCATGGCTCATGATGCTTCGGTCTGTTAAGAATTAATTAATTATTAAGGATTTTTAGCTGGACAGTCTCTCATAGCCCTCTTTAATAAGGCACTCTGTGATAATTTCCTTTTTCATAGCAAATTAAATTATCAGCACTTCAAATGAACTACATTTAACCTAAAATGTCTAAATCATTCAGTCATGCCGGTTAGGCCTAGAAAGCCTATGATTAATTAAATCATACCTACAGAGGAAAATAAAAAAATCAAATGAGATGTCAGTATTGAAGCGGCACTGTGGCACAGTGATTAGCATTGCTGCCTTACAGCACTGGGGCCCTGGGTTCAATTCTGCACTTGAGCTGCTATCTGCGTGAGTTTAAATGTTTAAATGTTAGATGCTTAAAACACATGGGTTTTCTCCAGATTCCAAGAATTCAAAACCATACTTGTTAGTTAATTGGCATGTCTGTGTTTGTGTCTGCCTACCCTGTGGTGGACTGGCGTCCTGTCCAGGGTGTACCCTGCCTCGTACCCGTTTCTTGCCAGGATAGGCTGTGGCTCCCTCACAACCCTAAATTGGATGAAGCTATTATAAAATACCTGTAGATGGATGGATGTCAGTATTGAATGCATTTTCAAAAGCCATGATGTTGGTTTGCTTGAGGTTGATGTCCAGTAATGGAGCACACCATGTGTTTTGTTCTTTTAGGTTAGTTCGGAACCTGAACACAGCAAAAGAGGGATGGGTACCCGCTGCTAACTTGCTGAATTTGATCGGAGACTCAAAGTCATCTCAGTCTCTGAGCAGCTCAGGTAATAGTTCTCCTTTAATTACCGGTGCAGTAGTAGCTTGCTCTGAGAACATAAACTGGAAGCAAAAGTCTAGAAAAAGCTTTCTACTTGTTAGTTAATTTCTTTACCAAGAAAATCCTGATGTGTGCTAAAAGAGGAGTATTTTCTATATGGTCATGCAGGTAAGAAGCCAATAAAAATCCACTGATTCTGGGTAAAACAATCAAGTTTTGCATTTTTAAAAAAATCATTTTTAATCAAATGCTGTATATTGCTGCTACATGAACTATATGGGGGATGCCCATTTAGCTTTTTTCATTGCTAGTATCTCAAGCTGTTTCTTGAAAGCAGTCTGGCTATAAGCTTCAAAAACAGCTTTCGACCAGCTTGCTCTAGACTCTCTCAACCCTTCGTGTAAAGAAGTATATCCTGTTCACTGTTTTTAATTCATCTACCTGTCATTTCCACTTGTTCCATCTGGTTTGTGTTTTACTATTAATAAGACAATTATTAATATTGATTCTGAAGAAGTCTGTTAGGATAGCTTTCACGATTTTGAATACTTGAATCAGGTCCACTCATGGAATCTAGTCCTTTCAAGACTAAAAAGATTGAGGTAGTGTCGTCAGCGTATGACTTTACTTCAAGACCATTAAGTTTTGTTAACAGCCTGTGAATAGCACGTTACTTCAGTAAGTATAACCAGTAGAGTACTAATAGGCCCTGGAGGGTTTATCTTAAGTCCTTCTAGTATACAGTATGTAATAGTTTTCCTCTGGTGGTAATACTATTTAATAGAGAGCTTTGTCTTTGCATTTCTTCCTTGGTAAACACCTGTGTGAAATATTATTTTAATACATCAGATATTTCCTAAATTTAGATTGTCTAAAACAATTGCTCAATATTCTTTGTTATATATGGCTGTTCTTCTATGCTTTTATATTAGTGCTTGCAATATCTTATACTCCTTCCGGTTCCTTTGCCTTTTAATGATTCTATACATTTATCTGTACGTTTTTTGAATTGATTTATTAAATCATATGGGCCACTGGTTTTGAATATCTTTTGAACTACTCTTTACTCGGTAGAGAACACTCTTCTCCTCAGATTCTCTATACCATTCAAAATCTCTCTCATTCTTGCAAAATCAACTTTCCTAAAATAATACACCCTTGTTCCGGATGCCAACAGTACAGTTTCAAGATGTATTTCAAAGAACACCATGTTATGGTAAAATTTCCATAATAATGTTCTCATTTCTGTTATTAGTACTCCATCTTGCTTATTTGAAAGGCTAGATCATTACAGGCATTTCTTCTAGTAGGTATTCTAATAATCTGAATAGGAAAGCAGTCGTTAGTCTGTGTAGCATTTCAGTTTCTGCTGCTCACGTTGGTATTGGTTTATCCCCGATCTAAATGAGAAAATTTGAAATCTCCCTTGGTAACTACATCTTCCTTCAGACGTGTTCCCAGTTTCCTTATGTGACATCTCAGTATAATTCATGCCTGGATGTAGTTGTTTATAGCATACTGCTAACACTACGATGTGTACTTTCTGAGGCTCGTGGATGCCACAACTCTACATCGTTCATCTTTTGCTTCTCCAAAATGCAATTCATCATAATCATCATCAATTGCATCAGAATCACCTGCTAAGGCAGTATCTTATATTAGAGATAAAATATAAGAGAGAGAAGATCGCTTTATTAGCCATTTACAGTTTCTTGCATTAGGAATTTGTCTTTTCGCAAACCCCAGCTTGCTCTCCATGAGACACACAGGCACACGGACGGGGAGAGAGAAGCTTGGGGTCAGAGCGCAGGGTCAGCCATTTATACGGCTCCCCTGGAACCTTGCTCAGGGGACCAACAGAGTAGGACTCCTCTGCCAGCCACGGGATTTGAACCGGCAACCTACCAGACAGGCGCAGAACCTTAGCCACAGAGCCACTGGTCCCTCCCAATATGCCTGGTGTTTGAGTATTAGCAATTAAGGTTTTGAAGTTTTCTTTTCCCCTTTTTGACTCCTCTCTCTGTTTCTCTATGGCATATTTTCTATCCACTTCTATCTCTTGTTTTAATGCCTTCTAATTTCTCTGTAGATCCTAGCTGATCATCCAGATATAACCCGTCATGTTTATACAGTCTTTGCCACAATAAGGTTTCCAGTGGACAAAAATGAAGGGTTCCCCAGCAGACCCTATCCCTAGGCCTGTTTTGTGTTTGCAGTTGCTCACCTTTGCATGCTGTAGACAGGATATCTGCGTAAACTACCGATTGTGTCCTGCACTTCAGTTGGTTACCCAGGTTCTTTGAATTAGTCCTTTATGGAAAGTGCACTGTTTCTGCCATGTCACGTCTTTTGTTCTAACATGACCAACAAATATTGCAGTTTGTGTTTTCAAGGGGTTTTATTTTTTTTTTTCAAATGAAAGTGATGCTAGTCTTTTGTGTGTTGCTCAGAGTCGGGGAGTGGCTCCAGTAACCTGAGTGCCTCTTCCAGCTGCAGTGAGACCTACACTCCCAGCACCACCAGCTTCTCTGACATCAAAGGCTGAACATCGCTGACCTCCAGCTCTCATTGACATTTCTTGCCAGGCTTTTATTTTCTCCCACTTTGAAATTCAGTTCACTGGAAGGAGGGGTACACTGGAGTTTGTTTGTTTTTGTTTTTTTTTACAGTTTCATTCCCTTTCGAACTACCAAACCCCAAATGTTGGACTTTGTTTTGGAGATTCAGCACAATCAGGCCACACAAAACCGTCATCCCCCAAGCACATAATTCAGGCTCTGTCTGTTCATGAAGCTTGGCTTCTGTTAAAAAATTATTCGATTATTAATTATAATAGAGGTTATTCTAATCTCTATTTACAATATGGTTTACTGTTATAGACATCATTATGGACTTTTGCTGTTTTGGTTTGTTTTATAATTGCAGGAGTAAAACAATCCTCCAAGAGACAAATTTCCTGAAGGATGTAAGATATGCTGTATATGGATCTATGTTTATGTTTGCTCTGCAATCTTATTTTTAAAATGCAAGCCTTATACTTAAGCCATTCCAGTCAAGACTATCTCCCACTGTGTCTATTTCTGTGCCAGAGCTTCTGTTTCTGAGTCACTGCTCTATAAGGTCTATAAGTAGCACTAAATGAATTTAACTACAGAGTTTAGCTTTAATTAGATATTTTTGTGGTTCTGCAAACTTTTGCATGAAAAGACCTTCAGAGGCTAAGGCTGTTTACAAAGTATTACTGTTTCATACCTTCTTGATACAGTGTTGACTTTCTTTTGATATCTCATGCACAGAAACCCAGCCATACTGATGTCCAGGAATCTCCAACCATTTCTAGTCATCAGTAAGAAGTTGTCAAGTCTCAACATTTGCTGCTTACATAGAGCTTTATTGAAAATGAATAGGGGATAAAACTTTGTTACAACTTTGAAACAGATGAATACATCTATTTATTTCTTGTAAAAGAGAGAATAATGTTTAAGTGAAGTTTGTATAAAATGTAATGTTATTTTTTTCAAAAACATTGTACATAAGGGACATTAAAATGATGAGTACTTGTAAACCATGGTCTTATATGGCTTATAAAAACTATACTGTATCATTGCATTCCTATGTCCACATTGTATTGTGTATATATATATGTAAATGAATGTTAATGTACTAAGATTAGACTATTATTTCATCAGATGTCTGTATCCAGATATGACCCAATATACTTTAGCATTCATAGAATGACCTTGATCTATGATGGAAAGCAGATATGTGGATTTCAAATGAAAATAAAGCTTATTCTAAGGGCAGTCCTAAAATAATAAAATATTGATGAACTTTGTACTTAAATGTAATCAATCATAATTTAAGAAACATTTTTAATGAAGTGGCTAAAATATGGGTTGGAGAATAACTTGGTTTGACTAGAGTTTGTGTGCAGTGACAAAATGTAACATATATATATATAAAGGCATCAACCCAAAGGTCACTGAATTGCACAACTGTGTCTAAATCCTTGGAAGTTTATAAGAAAATTATGTACATGTACAGTGTTAGTTTCTGATGCATCTTAGAAGTTCATTCTTAAAGTGTGATTTAAATCCTACTCTTGGGATTGTTATCTGATGTATGTTTTACATTCATGAACCTTTGGACAGCCATTTCAAACCACTGCTCAACAAGCCATTCAGAATTATAGTGTGTGGTGTTTTCTGCCATTGTTATACTGCCATTTGGTCTCAGTGGACATGTAAGGAAAAAAACTATTTATTTCGGGGATATTCTGTAAAGCTGGAGGTACACAATCAATTTGAAAGTTGCTTTGACAGTTCTAACTGACTGTCGTCACTTACTGACAAAAGATTCCATGAAATGTTACTGATAATACATCTATTTTCATTCATTCACAGTTCTCATGTACACAGAGGTGAGTGTTCAGTCATTTATGTTTTGTTAAATCATCCAAAAAGAGGAAGTACAGCTGCAGACAAGCTGATGCATAAGGAAACTTTTTATCTGACAAATATTTATGGGATGTGAGATCTGGAAAGCATAAAGACTGCAATAAAAGACCCATCTGAAGACTTAACGTTTGAAGAAAATAATGGCCAAGTTACAAGGGAAAGTGATACTCCCCACATTATCTGTAAACTACCGTATGTATTTGTTGTTTACATATTTTAAGACTCTTTCATTTACTGTAGCAGCTGCCGGAACATTTTCTATAGGCATCTGACATCAGTTATCCTATCTATATGCAAGATTTGGCAACGGTAATTTGGTCATATTATTTTGTCAGAAATTATGAAAAACTTGCTTGTGTATCTCTAGCCAAAGATAATGTACTTTTTATTTGCACTCCAAGTTAATATGATACTGATTTTACTGTTTATTGCACTTTATGCAGCACATTGCGGCACATTTCTTTTTTTATGGTAATTGAATGAAAATGTCAGAAGTCCTTATAACTGTATGAAAACAAATGACTTGAATAAAATACTTTGAGACGTACTAGATTTTTCAACTTTTGTGTGTTTTTAACATCCAGAAAGAAACGTTAAAACATTACGACTCCACTCTGCTCACTTTCAGTCCAGCTGGTCTCTAAAGTTCCAGTGCTAAATGGTGACTTTAATCTGCTTGCTTTTTTAGACATTTGGTTAATTTATTATTGCACTCGGGTGAGTTAAAAAAAAATTCAGACTTCAAGGTTACTGTCCACAACAAATTTCTCAACTTGCTAACCCATGATTCTGACTAAACAGATTTTAAAAATCGATCTCCTTATGATTAACAGACATAGGTGGGACTGGCCATATACTGTACCTAACACTTCCACAGTGAGCTTGTTTTCTTCAGTTGCATTACAGGCCAGGATACCTGAATGAGGGCAGTGGTCCAAGGTTGATACCAATCACAACCCGATTTGACCTTTTAATAGCTGAAAGCAAATTTTAAAAAAGGCTGTAAATAGAAATCAGAAATTAAAAAATAGTAATTATGAACATGACAAAACTAGAAAAAACTGAGGTCTCTCATGATCAAGCTTTGCAACAACCAGCTTAATGTAAACATTTGGTATGATTCTTCTCAAGTGTGATATTAGTAAATTTATATAACTGAGTTAATACTGAAGTATTTGATCTGTTTAATTTTTTATTTTAATTAGACCAGTACTAAAATACACTCTTACCATTCTTGATTCATAAGTCACATGAAAGAATTTATTTTGGTATAAAGGTTTACAGGATCATCCTCAGTTATCTGTTGATATTTTGAATCAAATGTTCTACCCCTGTTGAAAATAGTTTTTTTTCCTCCATGCTATCCTCATTGTATCGTAACGGTCGCGGTTTTGTAGTAATCTGAACTTTGTGACACAGCTTTGGGCTGTGTATGAGTGTACTAGTTGAACATGTTTCATAGTAAATCAGAAAGACGGCCAAAATTCAAAATCCTGTTCTATACTATTACATAAATACAGCTATCTGAGTAGGAGTAGATTGTTCTCACTGTTTTTTTAGGGAACCTCTGTCAAAAGTGCAGTCATTTTAATGTATTCATTCCTAAAGTGAAAGTTTCAGTTTCAAAACTTCAGTTCAGCCGTTCTGGAAAAAAGTCACCTTTCCACAGCCGGTTCTCTTAGCTGCGATTACATATTTAGTTGAGAAATAAGTCTTAAATTAGTCAGAACAGGCATACTGTAGGTCAACACGACACGGCTGATGAAACTAGAAACTAAATACTTGAAGTATGTAGAAGTATATAGAGGCTCGTTCACATTTTTACCCACTGTAACCTCACAAGGTGTGTATTAATAAACCTTATTAACATGAACTTTATATTTGAAACCATTTTAGAAGAGTACATATTAGAAGTGAATTCACCACTAATATGCATCAGTATTTGCAAAGATTAGTTGGTGTTTTATGTTTTTTGAATAACATTAATATATAAATATAATTCACCTTTTGTGGATATATGCTTAGCCTTTTGTGAACTAAAGAAACACATTTATCTGCGTTTACACTGGTAACGTTGGTAACAATGTGGTACGTCTGAAGCACTGTATTCTGGGAATATTGAACTACTTGCTGTGGGGAGGTGTCTACAAAACAAATGGCAGCAAACGTCACGAAGTTCTGTACCAAAAGGTTTAATAATTTGAATAACACTTTTGAAAATTTTAATTCACAATGCAAAGTGTAATGATTTCCGCCCTTCATTGTTTCAAGGAGAAACAAATATGGCTCATGCTATACCGACTGCAAGAGTTTGTCCTTCACACATCGTCTTACATCTGTACAAACACAATTAGAAACAGTGGCTTAGCCTGTTACATATTGAAAGATAAAAAGAACCTGGGCATGTAATAACACCGATACTATGAGGACGTGTAACAATAAATAACGGTATTGTGTCGATCATGTGTTTGGCCGCTTTTGACAGCGTTTAGAGAAAACGCGTTAGTGTTGGAAGTGATGAAGAAAGCAGGCATTTTGAGAAAGGGGGTTATTTACGCAAGCCAGATGCCAGGCGTTGCTCTTGGCTTGCTGGTCAGTTCCGAATCGGGAGTAATCAAACATACATACTGTACCAACCACACCGACCAGCCCTCGCTGCCTTAACAAGTGGGCTGTGAGACCGGAGGAAGGAATTAGCCCAGCCAAGGTATGACCACAATGCACATCGGTATTCAGCAAATTGTACAACCCCCCCCCCCCAAAAAAGACACAACCACACTCAGCGCTTACACGGCAAGAGTGCAATAAAAGCATTGCATTCTGCACTAGCTTAACAATAACAATACTACTGGCAATGCCCTTTAAGTTCAAATAATCGTAATAGTTACCACTTACTAATTGTTGTTGTTTCCATTTTAATAATACTACGACTCCTGGTTGTTAATGGATTTCAGGACCATCCTGTTCGCAGCATAATCGTCAACACTGCACCAGAACGCGACCGGGGGAAGAAAATGTGCAATATAAATAATTTGACACAGCTAAATCAAAGGCCTCCCGACATACAGCGCCACATCCAGTAAAATTAACCTAATAGTAAATAACACCCATCCGCTAAGTGTACTATGAAATAGGCGATATGAAATTATGCACTGCCTTCTTAAGACGGGCCACGCCGTGCTATTCGCTCATACACACATTCCTCTGACGTTGAGCTCAGTGTACACACAGCTGGTGTGACTAGAAAAAGCTGTTCGGTTACATTGAGAAGAGGGACAGCCAAGGCAGGAGGCTGCCGAGTGGAAAACACACACACACAGCCAAAATAAAATAAAATCTTTCGCTGTAAGTACCAGCCGCTCGTCGGATACGATTGCCAGCGTTGGTGCCGGTCACGGTTGCTGGTCGTGCTGGGTTTTGTTTCCGTCATTCTTTCAAACTTGCGCTGAAAGGATACATTGCAGTGAAGCCATGAGCCTGCTTAGTCGTTATCAATCTGTGTTCTGCTGCCTTTCTCTTGGGGCTTGTACAATAGTATTTAACCCTCGGCTTTGCGCATGTCAGGGCTTAGTCCTGTCAAAGGAACCAGAGACCAAATTACGGTTTTGCTCGGAATATACAATCGGTGGTCGGTCGGATTCGCGTTTTATAGTAACTGTTTTAAATGTCGTGTGTCTAGTTTAGACCCCACGGATATGCTGTCTCGAGCATCCCCCCCAGTATAAAAGCTATTCATAATCTTTTCCTACAACTTCTGTTTACGAGATAAGTTGATGCTTCTGATTTTCGGTATACACAGCAAGCAGACATTACTGCAGAGCTATAAAACCGATGCCGTGTCGATCCAGTATGGCCAGCTACTGTACATACTGTGTCTAGGTCTGTCTTGAAAACGCTGCTTAAATTTCTTTCCACACCTTTGTTCTGTTAATCGTGATAGGAATTTCATATTTCAAACCGAGCAGGGTGAAGGCAAACAAGCGTAAACAAATAATGTTCACGTCCAGTGTTATTTTTCGTTTCACAATATCCGTAACAGCCGGAGAGAAGTGCGTATCGTTGCAAGTGGCCAGTGTAAGTGATGTGGCCTTCACAGGCATGGTTGTTGATACAGTACCGTTGTCCTTAATAGATACAGAGTGTAGACAGGTAACTGTACAATTTTGATTAACTTGAGATGAATTCCATTTAGGTTTAGATAATACCGAAGACTTTGATGTGTCCATTTGCTGGGAGAAAAACTGTAAACATGCTAATATGAGGTTTTAAAAAGTCGGAAAAAAACCTTGGATCGTGTTCTATAGATTAAAATACAAAATAAGTTAAACTGGAACCATCAGTAACATCTGATTGGATGAATGGCTTGTTCTTATCCAAGGTTTCTTATGGTTTTAGAGCTCCATGGTGTATTCATCAGTTTTTACTTTTTTTAGTAGCTAGCAAAAATGTAAAGTTTATAAACTTCATAAACATCAGAAGACATCTATCACTCTATTAATGTATACAGATTTTTCAAATAATAAAATATAAGGATTTGGAGTATTGATTAAAGGTTTTTGGTGTCATTTTAATTAATTAATCTCTCTTGATTGACGATGAAGACTTAATTTACTTCACTGTTACAGAAGCATTAAATCATTAGAGGCATTAGTTAGACAATCGGGCACAGCGATGAGATGATTTAACCCATGGAATATTGATTTCTAGGTGAAAATCGACAAATAAAACACAGAAAGAACCAATATGCCCTGCATATCAAGAGAATAGTGCCTTTGCTCCCTCTGTATGTGCCCTAGCCTGGACAACATCAGGGCAGTGCCAGAAATTTCAAGCCGTGCGAGATGTTACCCATGAAACGCCACGACATTAGGCCATTCTCTAACGGATCACGTGTCACCTTGCCAAGATTAATGAGGGGAGCCAACTGTGATGGTCAGACCAGGAGTTATCTAGTTGCTTCAGAACAGCTTTACCACTTGCCGTTGTAGATGACAACCCTGCATGGCACTATGTTGATCAGGAGCTGGGACCTCATCCTCAGTGGGCAAAGAACGTCCTCATGCTGATCAGTTTACAAGATAAGAAGGGGACAGTTATATCTTGGATGCCTTACTCACCTGACTCGAGCCCCACTGAATGTTTATGGGATGCCGTGAGGCGTCTAGGGATCGCAGACCAGTGAACGGGCACGTGCTTGTCCAGAGCGGATGAGAGAAGTGGAGAAGAATTCCGCAAGATAGCCTTTGCAGTCTGGTGCAAAGCATGTGTCACTGATGTACAACTTGCATTGCTTTCACCCGTGCTGCTAGCATGTGGTCTTCTCAGTAGATCACACCTGTTGGTGACCAATGTTAACCACCATCATGAATTTACCTGTGGTACATTTCTTTTGTTGCTCAGTGGATTTTGAAACTGACATTACACGTTCAACACCACACAGGCCTTCTCGTGGTATTCTAGGACAGTGGAGTTTAACCTTCTTGCTTTAAGGTTTCTCTGTAATGTTGTGAAGGTTTTAAGTTTTATTTTAGTTCTTATATTGTGTCTGCCGGTGTCCCAGCTGACTAGTCTTCTAGGCTCCCCGTACAGTTCTTAGGAAGGTGTCTGAAGTTTTAGTTTGTCTGCATAATATCTGTGGCCTTTGTAAGTGTATCATTAGCCTTCTAGATATGATGCTCATGTTCCTTGGTTAAATGGGAATATTGCAGGTGTTTGGATCTTGGATTATATTTAGATTGTTTATCAACATAGAGATACATAGATTTAAATAGGATACCAATGTGGATTTTCTATCTGGTGAATAACCTCTTTAAATCTGAGATGTGTTTCCTCAGAATAGAGTATGTGATCATACTCATACAGTGTGGCCCATGTTTTAGACTTCAATACATATATATGGTAATTTCCTTAGCACTTAATACAATATACTGCAAGGGAAGTCCATCCAGAATATTATAGAGAAGTTAGGGACATATTCTCGGGATCAGTTTTTGGTGTCTCATGTCACATGCAATGGTTTAGCTGTTTAGAAGAGAGTGCAGGAGTTTGGAGAGGGTATTATAATGATTCAGTGATCTGTGGAGGTGTCGTCTATTGAACCTGTGTATGTTTTACAATATTGACGGAGTACCCATTAAAACGTTGATGGTAAATATAGACTAAGGTGTCCAGGTGTTGGACAGACTCCTGAGTGACATCAATACTTATGATTACTTAAATGTTTTTCAAAATTACAAGAAATGGTGATGTCAGCAAAGAAACTAATGTAAGGCCTCAGATCATCTCTAATTATTATAACAACACTAATGTTATTTGTCTCATTCTGTGGAATTGAATTAGGTTTTATAAGAAGTGTAGAATCATCCTGTAAGGCGTTGTTAACATATGTTTGTACAGTATTGTTTTTTTTTAATACAAAAACTGCCTGAACTTCATTTGGATGCTAATCTCTGTGGTACAATGTTTATTAAAACCTAATCAGAACAGAGAAATCTAAATTAGTATGTAAGAAAAAGAAAAGGTTAATATAAATTTCTGTTATTCATTAGTGAATTACTACAAAAAGTTTCAGAATAAAAGTTTCAAAATAGAATGATTTCATTTGGTAAAGTACATCCCTTCATAATCCTAATCCTATCATAATTCCGTTCCATTTCTGCGAACCTTTTTACATTTTTCCTGATCCATGTTGCAAATACAGCCATTTTGACTCAGTCTTATCATTTTTATTACAGATGCAAGATGTGTTTATCATATTAAACAAGAACAAACATTAAGCTTTTATGATTTATTCTTTTATCATCAGTCATGATTTGTCTTAATTATTAATGGGGCCACAAAGTCTTAAGGAAAGTATTTCGGACTGCTGTATGATCTGATTATTCAGACTGAGCTCTCTAAGCCATGCTGATGGAGTAGTAGTAGAACAGCTGAGATTGTACTAATGTCCCAAATAAAGCTCTTAGAAATACAGACTAAAATGTAGCAATGTGTTATATGATTTCTCAGTTTGTACAAAATGAGTAACACTTAACCACAAAACTTAAGTTCACATTATAAATGCTAGAAATATTCAAGTACTCTGGCAGTGTATCAGGTACAGTGTGATACCATCTGTATAACTGAGCATTCTCATTTAATGACAACGGCCTTGCTATAATAAACAAAAATGGCTACATGATAGCCCCTGTTTAGAATTCTGTCAGCTTTTGTAGCATGGGAGAGAAGAAAATATATATAAATATAAATTTATATTTAAATTTAGTCATTTTACAAATTGTATGGTTGTGAAGCTGAAGTCACAATTTACAAATGAGATAGCAGTTTTAGACATCTTACGTATTAGTTTAATAAGTATCTTTTAAGTGCTGGATATTATTATACGTATAACACTTGCATTGCTGTGCTAGGATAAAATTATTTTTGCTATTAAAATTGAATGAAGTAATTTCCATTTTATCTTCCTGTCTGTATTGCAAGAGTGTTCCCGAGGGAAGGCAAAGTCTGTGTTCTGAGAGATTCTGAGGCTGAGGGAGGTTTTGCAGCAGTATTTCGTATCATTTACCTTTTGGCTCCCTGTCACACAGAACCTGGATATGTCAGAGACTGTAAACATGACTGAAGTCCAGCCTCTGTTTCCTTCTGTTTTGATGATTATGATTGAGTAGGTGTTTGGATCAGAGTCAGTGTTTTATTATCGGTAAATAGATAAAAGAGGCAATTAAAATGAAAAACAATAAAGTCTTTTAGGATTTTGAAGCAGTGCCAGATTGAAGTTAGTAAGGCTGGCACAAAATCATACAAAGTATGAATCAAATTCAAAATTATGAATTTTCATTCGGAGTTACTTACTAGTTATGTGGCATCTGCAAGTGCATTATGGAGCAGGGAGGTTTAACTCCACTAGAAATGTCAAGACTGCTGGTTTCAGTGCAAGGGTTTTCTTATGCCTTTTTAGATTATGGAAGCAAGCAGGAAGGGTGATATTTTAATATTATTTACCTTCCTAGAACTGGCACGTCTAAGAAATAGGTTTGGGAGTGTTGGATATTGAGCTTTGTCAGCACAGATATCAATAGCCAGATCCAGTAATTCAAATGGAATGTAGTAATCAGTTATTTTCATCAAACATTCCTAGTTATACATTTACAGTATCATTTTAAAAAGCATTTGAGTAGAAAAGTTAATCAGATGAAACAGATATTTTATTATGAAAGCCTTGTCCACTCAAGACTTTCTTTTGTTTTCCTCCTAATTAGCGTAACTGAAAGTAAATTATTTACGTTAAAGAAATGATTTGCAGCTACAAAACTCTTTCCTCATTTGTGTATATTGCTAATTTGAGTTCATAGTCCAGCCACATGGCCATATAAAACCACCTGGATTTAGATACAACTTTCACCATTCTTACCTACACATTTCAAAATGTGTTTACTGAGAAAGTTTTGTGTTACTTCTAAATACTGTATCAGCTGTTTTCTGTTGAAAAGCAAAGCAATGTTTTGGGACTTACTTCAGTTACCTTTATAAAAAGCACTTCATTAAAAAATGATGTATTTCCAATTGTAGGATGTACTTGAGACTTGGGATTTGTGAACAAATCTGGCTTGATTTGAGGGGTTTTAACTCTCGCTATGTGTCTGTGAGACTGGCTGTTCTCTAGCTTCAGAAGGGGAAGCTTGTGTGCTTTCAGGGCTGAGACTTTTTCTCTTGCGCCACATTCTTGACAGGTTTTCAGGTTGAGACAGAGGACTTCCTGGTGTAGTGGCATAATGGACAAAATACTGAACTACACACTCCCTGGAATTAGAAGTCATATGTTTTCTTCCTGTGTTGTATAAATAGCTCTGTGTTTTGAAGAAAGGGATTGAATTTGCTCCAAGAAACCACATTTACCTTGTTTTTTTCTGGTTACTATTAAATAGACTTGAGTTAATCAGAAAAGACACAAAAACACTTTGACTCATGTCAGATCTTCAGATTTTATATACTTTTTTTATATTGTGGAATCCCCCAGTTATTATTTTGTGTGAATATCAGAAGGTCTTGTTGTGGATTGTGATGACTCCTATTATGCATTTCCATTTTCCCAAGGAATTTTTGTGCAGTGCATTTTTTCTCTAAATCCAGTAAACATGATTTGATTACAGTATAAAATTCACTGTGGATCATTGGGCAACTATCTCACTATACCTGTGCAGTTAAAGTCATTCTCTATAAAGCACTTTTTATATATTCTTCATATAATACTGTATATAACATATTGCATTTGTTATACATTCTTTAAAACACATTACAGTCATTTAAATTTTCTACATAACATATTTGGCTCTAGGATATATTACATTACATGTATATTTTAAAGTATTTTTGGAGAGTAGAAAGTATAAAGGTTGATGTGTCAATTACAAATAAAAGACAGTGCAACAGTTGCAAAGCCTTGTGTAGCTGTAAATACTACAGCTGCCCTACATACTGTAGCCGCCCTGACCTTAAATATAAAAGCCTGACACCAGGCTACATTTCTCCGACACTGGGCCTACATTCTGAAGGGTTTAAGAAAGCTGAATTAATTAAGGCAGGTTTTTAATTAAGGTATGGAAATGTGCTTTTGTTGAAGCAAATCTCCATAAATGAAAGTCTCCATGTTTGTGGAAGCATTCCAAACATTCTAGGGTGTGCCTGAAATATTTCAAAGGCACTTTCATGTGTGCATGCTTGTATGTATTCTAACACCTGAACCACAGCTGGATTTCTGTGCAGAAAATAAATCTGGCTGGAATTTGTTGGTTCACTGTAATGTTCAGTGTAGCTGTTCTCGGAATCTCTGTCGGTCCATTTCCAGGCAATGGCTTTTCACTTTGCCTGGCAGAGAGGAGACAAAACTGCTAACCAAGGAACAAATAGCCTGATGGGCAACAGACACGAACCTTTTTATATTCATTATTAAGGCTGAGCTTTGAAAGACAGAAACACTTGTATGTGTGCAAATAAGGAACTTGAAAACGTAAGACTTTTGTTTTTACAGCAGAGGTGTCCAAATTCGTTTCAGAAAGGCCAGCACTCTACATTTTATATGGAAACATGGAAATAATGCATTGCTGAAGACCTGTAAATATGTAATTTCCAAATTAGTAAAGAACCTGTTTAAAAAGGTTGCTTAGAAGTGCTGTAAATGAAACGGACATTATATCAAGTCTGTGATTAGTAGATTGTTATTCCAACCAAAATGAAAAATGATTGTGAAAATGTTTACTTCTTAAAAGCCGACATCCAGGCAGGTGTTGTGAGGATCTAAGGCATAGGGCTGCATTTTTATTGTGGGCTTAGAGGTGACCACAATAACGCTATCCTTATCCTAATGGATATTTTACTGTACAGGAAAAATAAAGAAAATGAAAACACTGTGATTAATGTCTGTGTGCAAATAAAAAGAAAATTCTTAATTTCGTAAACATTGCAAGTTTTCTGCTAGGTTAGATTTGAAGTTTGGCCAGGTAAAGCTGAAAAATTCAAAGAGCTGGAGAGATGAATGCGGAAAACAATGTGCTTCAGAAAGTACACTAAGAATAACATGGCATGCAGGAATTCTTTGTATTGAAAGGTTTATGGAGTGTTTTAGAAATAAGAAATGTGGCTTCACCTGCTTGGCTGAGGGGATAAGGAGGCTGGGAATCCCCCTACAGGGTGAGAAGTGACCAAGGGGCTGCTGCAGAAGTGGAGGAGGGACACAACACAGCTATGCGAAGGAGAGAAAGGGATTACTTACAGTATTAATGATGTTTCAGGTGAGGAAATGACGTCAGGAGTGACTATGAATTACTGACTGTTGAGGCTGGTTGAACTTGGCTGTTGTCATCCCTCCTGAACTTTCGTTCTGTACTTCATTAAAAGACCTTTCTCGGTGTTATGGTCTTGTATCACCCGATCTTGTTCGTTTTGCTTCCGGTCTTAGTTTGAAAATGAATTCTTGGCTGTTGAACAGAAACCTTCCTCAACAGGAGGCTTGAGAGGATTCAGTTTTCCCAATTTATTTCACTCTTTTTTTTTTTGTCTTTCTCGCTGCAGGTACTGAAGTGAGGCACAGCAAGCAGTCAAAATGCCGCTGTTTGGTAAATCTCACAAGAGCCCAGCTGATATTGTGAGGATTTTAAAAGAAAACCTGGCGATTTTAGTGAAGCAGGATAAGAAGACAGAAAAGGTAAATCAGTATAAGATCTTATGTATGCCAAATGCTGTAGCAGGGTAGTGCTGGTTAAAAACTCTGGGCTCTCATTCGCCCTCCAGAGTTGGCTGTCGCCATGGCAGCATTGAAGTGGTCCCAGTGGCACTGCTGATTGGATCATGGTAAAATGAACTGGGTGCTTTATGTCTGGCTGCAGAAAAGTGTCTCACTGAGGCTGGCTGGGATTCAGTGAGGCCTTGTGACACGAGAGATGTTAATGGCCTTGAGTCGGGCTGTAGGCTGAGCTGTGTTCATTCCCCAGCGTGGCAGAAATCTGTTCGGATGCTGTTTTGTCAGCAGCGCCCACAACTGAGGCCAAAAGTGAAATAGTAGGATATTTAAAATAGGATATTTTAAAAGGGAAAAACACATTTTTCTTCAGAAGTAAGGTATCTTGTTTTTACAGTGATTTGTTTTCCAGGATGAAATTTTAATGTACCGTTTACTCAGTGACCTACAGTACATCCAGCCTTGTGTGAACCCACATCTCACATACAAAAAAGCCATGCAATGCGTGTGACAGCAGTGAGAATACTGATGCGCAAGTCAGGATGTATTGTATGTGGAAAGCATTGAGGAAAACCATCTGCTGTATATTCTAATTCAGCAGTAGGCACATGTTTTCATATCATATTTCATATCAGCTCCATATGAAACGACATGAGGGAAATGACGTTAATAAATCAGTTGTTTCTATTTAGGGATGTATTTTACACACTGTTGTAAAAGCAGCACTGTGGCTCTGCTTGATCTTTAATTTAAAAGGGTCTGTGAATGTAATTATCAGAAGATGCAGGTTAAAGGGTGCTATTTATAGACATAGTGATTTTAACTTGTTTACTATTCCAGTGATGTGTTCTTAAAAATCAGTTAATCTAATCCCTCTACAATGCTGTTCCTTTTGTAGTCATACTGTATCAAATGTATCTCTCCGCCTAGTGGTGACTGGTGGTAAAACATCATTTCAGTCATGGGCAACCCAGCATGGGGTTTCATAAGGACAGAAGAATTTGTCTTTAAACCAAGTCCTGAGGTTTTTGCTGTTCATTTTTTGTATCAATTGTTGCCCCTGTTGTACGCATATTTAATTTGATAGCTAAAAAAACCCAACAAAACCCTGCAATAACGAAACAAGGCTGATTGCTCTGAAGTTTATGTCTTGACTAAACAGCTAATTGTTGAGCCTTATCTGTAACTGGCATATGGCTGACAGGCAACATTGATCACTCTTCCCAGAACCAGTGTGACTTGGATTTCCTTCTTTACAGTACCTAATGGGGCTTCCAGTAAGTCTTTGTGCTTTAGTTATTTTGCCATGGGTATTTAAGAGATCTTGTACAAATATTATTTCAGCATCAAAAATAACCATGGACTTGTACATTGTCTGAAACGCAAAATGAATGCAATTCAAATGTTAATGTTTGTTAAAAAAATACCTAATACTTGTGTGTTTAGTGATGTTAATTATGGTTTTATCACACAGAGACTATTCAAACACAGTAGTGGCTTAAGGGGAGGGGATGTTTCTTGATAATAAACAGAGAAGAGCATTATTAGGCGACAGTTCAGCATGACTGAACTGTATGACAAGGGGCAAGCTAATTGAATCAGTCCCTTAAACAATAGATGTTGTGCCGAAGTTGTTTGATATGCAGAGGTATGAATAGCAAATTCTTTGTATAATACCTCTATCTTCACTGTTTGTTTTGTGACGCCAGGCTTCGGAGGAAGTATCTAAGTGTCTGGTGGCAATGAAGGAGATTCTGTATGGCACTAATGACAAGGAGCCTCACACAGAGACAGTGGCCCAGCTGGCTCAGGAGCTATACAATAGCGGGCTTCTCATCTCTCTGATTGAAAACCTACAGGTCGTAGATTTCGAGGTATGACAACACTCAGTCTCTATCGTGTCAATGTTGAAATTACTTATACAGTTGATTTCTGCTTTTTTGGTAACTTCAAAGTAAAAGCATATTTTACAGATGCATTGTTTGGTATCAGTGGGATTTCCATCATTACAATAAGAGACTCAATATTTTTTACAACACAGCTCAAATGGAAGGAACCTAATAGGAATCCACTATAAAGAACCATCTCACAGAAGTGTGAACATAAGCTAAATGCCTCAACTGAGGCCATACAGTCACATCTTACAAACATTAATGTACAAATAACCCTCACCCTCAATGACAGGAGGATCTTTGACCCACTATAATATCAGTGATAAATGGTGAATATTGTCATTTTGGAAAATAATTTTTCAAAGTAATTCTGAACAAATAGGTTTCTGCAGGGCATTTCATTAACATTTTTATTTTATTAGTATTGTGGTGCAGTTTTATGAATGTAAGAGTTGAGAGAAGGCTACTCAGCACACTGTGGCACAACGTCAGCCTGAACAAATTGACTTGTAATAAACTTGTAAAAATAAAAGAAGCTCCAGCTGTGAATGTGTCTTTAAATGTTAACTTTATAGAGAAAATAAGATTAAACATTATGCATGTAGCCTTGAATCCCTACAAAGAGTGTTATTTGCAATGATTAAACGGTGAAATGTGGTAATTAAACTGTGTGGCTACTTTACCAAACTGCAGAATACTCAGTGACTGTTTTGCCTTCTCCGGGCTTTCATGTACAACAGGGGAAGAAAGATGTCTGCCAAATTTTCAATAACATCCTCAGAAGGCAGATCGGTACCCGCAGTCCAACGGTGGAGTATATCTGTTCCCATCAGCCAGTATTGTTCATGCTGTTAAAGGGGTGAGGTTCATTTTATTCTCCTTATATTCTGCTAGAATATAATAACAGAGCAATGCAGTCTTGATTGTGACAGCTCAAAGCCCATTCGAAAGGGACACATCAGATAGCACCTTTATTATAACAGCTGTGTGATCCATGATTGTCCAGCTGGCAGGTAGACCATAACAAATGCTGAGATTTAAAAAAGTCATGATTCATTTAATTTTTAATGTGATAAAACCATGGGTTAAAAGACATTTGCAAAAACATGTTGAAATTGCTCTTCAGGATTAAAAGTTTGATGAGATTTTTTTTTTTGCTTTTTTGTGGTTGTTCTTTTCAGTGGCTGCTATGGTTTATATGCAGAGGAATTTCATAAGGAACAAGGCAATACTGTACAGAATACTGTGAACATAATGAATTGTGTACCTGTGTATTATGAGAGCATTGGTCTCTATTTTTTTTTCCTTTTATACTGTACAGGCCCAGACCTTTTCTGCCACCTCATAAATTATAAATGCTATTTCGCTCATGAAATTAATTAAAAATAACTTCTCAAAAGGCCCATTAAAACACCAGACTTTGATGCGGCATATACTTGTCCTGTGTCGGTTTCGGGTATTGGATGGTGCAATATTACTGATGTTTAAAAAACACAAGTGCGGAAGACTAAAATGTGGCACTGTGGTGCTCTTATTGATCTTGTCAGCTATGAAACGCCACAGGTGGCTCTGAACTGTGGCATCATGCTGAGAGAGTGCATCAGACACGAGCCCCTGGCCAAGATTATTCTGCACTCTGAGCAGTTCCGGGACTTCTTCAGCTATGTGGAATTGTCAACATTTGACATCGCCTCTGATGCATTTGCTACATTTAAGGTAAGCTATTTAGCAGGCATGAGGGAGGGATGATGCTGAACTGCACATTTTCCATTTGCACTCTCTTCCTAGGCTTTGGGAAGTGGTGTTTATCTGAAGGATCAGATATTCTCTCCTCTCTCGAGCCTTGGTGCTAGTTTACCATACAGGGTTTTACAGTATCAGCCACTGTGCCAGTTTTATGTAACATAAGAATAGTTCAAATCAGTTAGTTATTAAGTGCACTCTTGTAGCTCTTCTTTTGTGATTCAAAAGGTGAGCTTTTAGTGTCTCTGTGTGACACTCCTTGTCATTAGTCATTTTGTCACCTAGCTACATTTTCCAAAATTAATTCTTAGAATCATAGTGTTGCTGATAGACCTGTGTTGATGACACTTCAAAGAAAATGCCTCCCCATATTGATCAGTTGTAATGTTTTCGACCTGTTTCAATCTTTACTGCTCCCTTAATATGTATTAAGGGTCTCATGGGCACTTTACTTTAAAACTGAGTAATACCATAGTATTATTAATTACTATTAAATACTGTAGTAACACCAACTCATTCATTTCCCTATTAATATTGACATCTTGTTTTGCTTGTTTACTGTATTGCATACTGGAGGTCATTTCTATCAAGTTTATAATCACAATTATTCTGTGTTATACTATATGCCCTATTTCAAATTGCTAGTTGGTATTGTAAGTCCAGAAAAACTGTTAATCTTTTAAATGCCCTAAAGCATGGCTGTGATGTACAGGAGAGCAAACAGGCCCTGGCTAACCAATCCCAAACCCCCCCCCCGTGGGCTGAGCCAATCATGTGCTGCTTCCTGTGGAATCAAGGACACGATTGGCTAGTGATATGACACAAGCTCAAATGTGCGATGGCTAAGATTGGTTGGGAAAAAAAATAGAAAATCGCTAAGTATCTTCTTGGGAACAAAGTACCTTCATGGGTTGAGCTACTCAGTACTTCTTGGAGTCTAGTTTCTAAAACTTAAAAAAATCTACGGAAATGTATCATGACTGGAGAGGACACATTTGAGTTACTAAAATAGGAGACCCTGCTCTTCTCAAGTGATGTGTCGCTATGAGAACACTGCACACGGTGTTTTATCCCCGAAACAGTCTCTCTCTGACTATAATTATTATTAGAGATAATAATAATTTTTGTAATAAACCATTATTATAAGATCATGTTTGTTCACATCTCACATCAAGATAGAATAACAACATGGGTTGAATTAAAACAAGTATTATTGTGTTTAATTAGTGTTTGACTCGACCTGTAGTACATGATATGCCTGGGTGAGCTAGACCTTGAACCCCTTGGTTTCCTCCACGAGGAGCTGCAGTTTACTCAGGCCAATTGTCCTAACCTCCCAATTTAATGGGGCACTTCACACATCAGACCACCATACTCCAACCCTGCTCTGCCACTGATCCGGTGCTCTGTCATTGAGCTGCCTTCAGACTGCGACAGTGCCCTCACCAGTACTAGCCTGCGTCACAGAAGGATACTCTTGACTGAATCCGCCTCATTCTGTAGATCCCTAGTCCGCCTGTCAGCAGCCCGTCTCCAGCTCTCCACCGGATCAGTGGGGCGGTTCCCTACCAGAATCCCGTACAGCAGTACACAGTTCCCTTGTCTGCATCAGTCCTGAAAGCTGCGCTCGCTACCAATCCTGTCAGATCTCCATCTCCATCTTCCTTCCACTATCTCCACCTGTCTTTATCCTGCCTCAGCCATCCCTGCCTGACTCCACTTTCCTCTTATCCTCACTTGCCTTTTTGCACTTGGATCCTCTAGCCTGTCAGCAAGATATGTCTGTCTCCAACCAGCCTTATAACACCACACAGTCATACGCTGTGTATAGCAAGAGAAAGGGATATTTCTGGGGGTATTACTATAATAATGCTTCAGTTGCGCAGTTGAATAAAGCAAACAGACAACACAGAATATTTATGTTGAAATGTGTGTTTTATATGGAAACAATTATGTAGATCCCTTAAAAATGTAATCCATTGGCACTGTGTTGAAGGCATTGCTTCTGTTATATATGACCCTAAAATGTTCTAACAGATTTTAAATGTTTGATGTTTCTTCTTTCACAGGATTTACTTACAAGGCACAAGGTTTTGGTTGCAGAATATTTAGAACATAATTATGATGCGGTAAGTAAGAATATTACATCTACAGACCATTGAGCAAAAAAGGCCTTTATATGATTTTTAAGGGCTGGACATATTTAAGGGAAACATTTGCTCGAGAGGGGAAGCAAATAAAAAAATGTAAAGATTTTCAACAACTGTGAGCATTTTGTGTTAATTTGTGTGAAATGTTAACTCCTGTACCTGCAGCAAGGTGATTCTGATCACACATCATGTGGAGCAGGGTGTCTAGCTTAGCTCTCAACGATGTATTGCACCAGTTCTCAACTGGATAGGAGCAGCTGTAGCTGCTTTTCCCAGCTCATACCATGCTACTGATCTACCGGGAGCTACACAGCCTGCTGTCTGTCTGTATAGAGTTTTATTGTATGTTCTTCCCATGTTTGCAGAGGTTTCCTCCAGCTGCTTGGTTTCCTCCCACAGTCCAAAGACATACTGTACATACTGGCAGGTTAATTCGATTCTGGGAAAATTGACCCTAGTTGTGTGTGTGTGCCCTGTGATGGAGTGGCATCCTGTCCAGGGTGTATCCTGCCTTGCACTCGTTGCTTGCCAGGATAGGCTCCGGCTCCCTTCCGACTCTGTATAAATTAGAAAATGGTTATAAAATGGATGGATGTAAAGAAATACTAATTTGTTCTGAAAGACACCAGGGACTGTATTTTCACTGTCATGGTTTTGTTTCTTGCTAGGTGTTTGCAGACTATGAAAAACTTCTGCATTCAGAGAACTACGTGACAAAGAGACAGTCATTAAAGGTATATTCCTTTGAGTGTGTGCACCTTGTTTTCTTCCCTGGCTAGTTATAACTTATTTTTCAGATATCACTTGTTTTCTTAGAAGCTCTAAGCAGGGACCCTACGAATCAAAAGAAATCTAACAATTTATCTTTGTGTATGTTTTTAGAAAAAATATATAGATTTTGGATACTGATTAAATGACTGACCATGAGACATTTGAGTTTTTTTTTTTTACATTTTAGCTGTTGCATGTTTACACTAGTGAAAATCAGGGAAAAAAACTCACAAAGGAATTAATTTGCCCCAATCTTCAAGAGAATAGTGCCCTTGTGTATGTTGGAAGCTAGACTCAATACATTTTATCTAACAGCCACCAGGTTACAGCCAAACAGTCTGTCAATGTTAAGGCTCAATCTGGGTGATCACAAGTCACAACACCTCTCCCAGATCAACACATTATCACGCTCCACTTTCGTGATTGGATTTGCACTGTTTCCACCTCTGCAATCAGGCTGGGGCAACAGCTGGCTCATCAGCAGCTGAGTTGTGTGGAGGTGGCTCCTCAGTCATCATGTGTGGGCCGGGCAATGGGAGGTTCAAGAAACTAATGGACTAGTTAGGAATGTGCTATAGACCCCCCAGTTGTAGTGATTGATGGTACATTGACAGCACAGCATTACATTGATCATGTTCATCTTTCTTATGTGATAAGAACTATTAGGTTATGGTTACACTTCCTACCAGACTTCAGTTCCGATGAAAATTAGTGGGACAACATGAAGCACACAGAACTCATAGTCCTGTGAACCGACACGTACTTGTGCAGGATACACTGTACAGCTGCAGCGTGGTGCAAAGTATGTGTTGCAGATGTACAGGTTATATTACTTCCAACAGTGGCCACACAAGCTACTAACCTGTGATTTTAACAGATGTTCCCCTGTTAATCAGCTCTGTTGATGGTAAATACTAATCAGCATAATGAATTAATCTGTTTCTTGCCTGTTCAATACTCTCAGTGCACCTTCTACAAAAAAAAAAACATTGTATCAGTAGCTTTAGGATTTTTTTTTATTTGTAAGTTTATTTGATGTTCAGTATATGTATTTGTATATTGCTAATCTCATAAAGCCTTTTTGTGTAAAAAGGACCTTGATTCTACAACACATCAATATTTGTATCCAGGATTGTATTCACAAAGACATATTTTTACTATCTGAGCAAAACCCAAAACAGTTTGTGTTGTATGCAAATGTTTTGTGTTTCTCTCCAAGCTTTTAGGAGAGCTTCTCCTGGACAGGCACAATTTCACTGTGATGACAAGATACATCAGCAAGCCTGAAAACCTCAAGCTGATGATGAACCTTCTCCGCGACAAGAGTCCCAATATACAGTTTGAGGCTTTCCACGTGTTCAAGGTAGGAAATGCTTACTGAAACCCTTAGCCCAGATAGTGCAGCGAACCAGTAATTGCACAGAACGATCTGCTGAAGCTAACTGGGAGAATTGGGAGATAAGCATACACCTAAAAAAATGGTGAAAATAAGGAACATGGGTTAAGCACATTGAATGTTTGTTTCTGGCTTCCAAGCTAGTGACACTCACTGTGTTCTGGAAGGAGCGTATCCTATGTGGGACACTTAAGGCAGCTGTCCTGCAGGTTCTGCGAACTCATTTACATAAACAAATATTGAAGTGTGGATGAAATACTAAAATATATCAATCATTTCAGCAACTCCATAACCAGGAAAGAACAGAGAGCAAAACATGGCTACAGCCACAGCACCAGTACACAGACCACACGGAAAAACCTGGGCAAAAGGGAACAGTTTGTGTTTAGGCGGACAAACTGTCCGATGTGTATACTTTGACACCCCTGGAATACACGGAGAAAGAGCTTTGCTCATGTGCGTTTGTGTCTCTTCAGGTTTTCGTGGCCAACCCCAACAAAACACAGCCCATCGTAGACATCCTGCTGAAGAATCAGACTAAGCTGATCGAATTCCTCAGCAACTTCCAGAAGGATCGAACGGATGACGAGCAGTTCAACGACGAGAAGACCTATCTTATCAAACAGATCCGGGACCTGAAGAAACCTGCCTCATAGACTTTTTCACAACACCGCGAACACCTTTTTATTAAAAAAAATAGCAAACTTTTTTCCAAGTCCATCAAGCTTACAAAGAAAAGGTTTCCAATACAGATCACTGTATCTGTTTTACATTCATAAACCTACACCATTAGTTACCATTAGTGCCACCAGTTCCAGTTCTGGTTCAATTTGTTTTGATTTTCTACTCTCAAGGGAGAACCGAAGGTTATAATAACTTAACCTCATCTGGAGCTAAAACTCCCTCCCTAGGGTTTAAAGTTTAATGGCTGATCATCAATGGAGAAACCAGCAGGACCCATATTACCAGCAGCCTACTAATGAAATCAATGTTTGCATCATGCTGCCTGCTGTTAGGATATTTTAAGTCCATTTAATTTCTGTTAACACTCCTGGACTTATGGCAGTCAAAACACAGGCTACTATTAAAATCTCAATCCATGGTTAGTGAATGTACATTTAAAGATGCAATACTAACTTTTTGTAGGGAGAGCAGAAGGGATAGACTGATTCGTTATAACACTGCAGTGCGTGTTCATTGTGTATGTGTGTGAGACATCTAACATGATACCATTTTGAGACTAGCATTCTTTTTCTCTTTGGATTGTTGTACTTGTGGAAACAGGGCTTTTATTAACAGTAGATTTGAAGCTTTCAAAAAAAAAACAGATAACAAAGAAAAACCTTCACCAGCTGACTAGTATACAAATTTGTTTGAGTGTGTTAGTTATTAAAAAGCGCAGGGACTAGCCTGAACAATTCACAATATTATAAATGTGGCTTTGAAAAACAAGAAGTTGATGAAATTGCCAGTATAAAAGAAAACTAATGCGTTTATAAACCTAAGTAATATTGATCTTATTTAACTAAAAATCTAACATTTTAATTATTTGTTCTCTTTGCTGGACACTGAAGGTGGCAATTTAGATAGACTTTTGTTTGCTCTAACTTTTAAATCTTTTAACTGTATATCTTCTTTTTGTTAAATTGGGCTGTATCGCAATATTTTTTTAAGTATTTACATTTTGCCTTCATGTGTATAAAAGCTCATTTGACACATTTAGGAATTGCTGTGTAGAGTGGCTGATGATTTCATGACTACCTTTTTAGCGGCTTTGTTTTCCAGTGCAAATAAGAAGCAAATGAGAATATTATTTTATGATTGGTATTTATATGCGTGATTTGTAATATTGTGATTTTTCTTAGCTTTTTCTGATTATTTAGAAACAGGCAGAAAATGTGTCTTTCCAAAACAAAAAGCTTCAGAAAGGTGAGGACACAAATTCAAAAAGGTGCCTTCTTTGCTTATGTAACACCTATTCTTTAGGGGGAGCTTAATATAAATTAAGAACTTTTATTTTTATTGTATTAAGCGATGAACCCCTCAAGCCTCATTTTCTCAAATTCTGTAATTCCAAAGTGTTTTGCTTTAAAGCTGATTTTGAAATGAAAAAGATACATTTGTAAAGTATTTCAGCGCACAATGTGAATAAGGTGACCAGGAGTAGTTCTTGCTGACAAAAAAATGTTAGCCTGCCGACATCGTGCCAGAACATGAACACGACTACCAGAAGTAGTCCTTATTAAAATAAAAAAAATATTTTAAACTGGCTTGGACCACACAGTTTTAGCTGAATGTCATTTCTAATGCAGGGTGAAAACAAACATTCCCTTTCACATAGATGTAAAAATGTGATAATTCAGTTGTGCATGATAGACGTAATCAATTATTTCCAAATTTAGATTTTTGTTTAGAAACAAATTTCGGCAAATTTATTCCCAATGTTTTATGAACAACTCTGCATGTGATAAGAGGATGGGTACACAAAAGATTATCATATGGCTGCTTTATACCTATATATTCTATATACAAAAGGATTGGTAATGGTGAAGCATACTGTATGGTTAGCTTTTTAAAAAGAAATGTTTATTTCTTATCCTATATTACAGAGGACACTAGCTCTTAAATTAAATCAAGGTGGTCCCACCTGAGACCGACATGCTAATTTATAGCCTGTACCCAAGCCAACATAAAACAGAACACTCCAGTTGAGATCTTAAATATATATTTCCACTTTCCGTTTTCAAATGGAAATTGCAGAAATAAAGTTGATCATTTTTGTTGTGAAATTTCATTTTAAGTCACCACACTGTTGTATATTTCCACCTAATGTTAGTGTACCACATCACTGATGAAAGACAATAAAAGATTACCACCCTCTGTGCTTGATTGCTATTCTTTCATACCAAAACCAGATACCCGCTTTGTCGATGTACTGAGCTACTTCTGTTCTTTAACTTAAAAAACTACAGCCACATTTCAGGTAATCTTAGTACGATAAAGAAAAAAGTCCACAGCAAACACTACAACACGAGACCTTGGATTGTAAAGAACAACACGAGCTATGTTTTGTACATTCAAAAATGGCAGAGTTGTTACATTTTTCTATAGTATTTAAAGCTGGGAGTGTTAAAAGAAAGGAAGATAAGAACATTACACATCCTTGTGGATTCTTATGATAATCTATAACAAAAAGTGAAGAAGCATACATTTTAGAAAATACATTTATTTTTTTCCCATATACACATGTACAGTATATATTGTATACAGTACCATGTAGGTGGTCTACATTACACAGGATGGGTCTTGTGTCAAGATCATACTTAGATAATTCATTTTGAATACAACTATACTGTTTACAGACAGAAAAAATAGATGTGCATTTTTGCTTTAACTTTTTTTACAATATTAATAACTTTAAAGTAACACTTTAACAAGAGAGACTAGATAAATCATTCAAATCGAGGACACATTCCTCCTTTTACTAAATCCCTTAAATAAGTATAATTGTGAAGCAGATTGCAAATAAATATTAAATAAAATATCTCTACAATGCATTTAATTATGGGTACATTTTACAATCTCATTTGTAAAACGCAAATATTAAAGTCAACATGAAAAGGACATAAATGTCTCTTTGCGCAATGACACTAACATTTGTCCACAAGTAATATCACAAATGTTCTTGTAATTACCAGGTGCTGCTGGTGCATTCCAATAATTTACTACATGAGCGTAGTGGAACATCAGCACGTGCAGACCTAAACAGACGTGGATTTAAAATCCAAAATTTGTAAAGGTTACACTTAGCATAGTTTTCTGGAAAAGGTTAAAACATAAAGTGCTTTTCATTAAAACCAGTCTCAGAGATACGAGATCGCCTTCATAACCAAAGTTGGCTGAAGATCCTCAGCTAGTGCACTATGTTAGCTGTGATTTCCCACACAGATCCAAGGAAGAGAAATATCACGAACTCAGAGACAAATCCATAGAACTCAGGCATCCTGTGACACCAGGAACTTGCTCAAATTGATCTACAGTAAGTATTCAGGAGGACACGCTGATTAGCCCTTTAAGAAAAAAGAGGACTGGGTCAGATGACGAGGTGACAGGACAATGCAGAAACCTGCATTATAGTTTTAAAAATACTTAAATTTCTACAGCTGTTTTTACAAAGGAACGGAAAGGACAATGAGTTGGTGTTTCTACAGGAGGCAGTGGTGTGTACCTACTGTTTTATTTTGCTCTACAGTTTATGACAAAAGCCTTTGCACACTAGAACTGGTACATGTTGGAAACAGGGTGTTGATCACCTGTTTTGAAGCTTTCATTTTTAATTAAGATTCCACAAAAGTGCCACATGTCTATGGATCTTTGCATTGCTGTCTCAGAGCCTATACAGATTGTGGGGGAAAGTGCCTTCAGAAACACTCTACTCATGGGCAGGTAATAGTTTCCTACATCCCTTCATTATTGGAACATGACACTCCAGCCTCTGAGCCACCCAGTCCTAGCTTCCTGTTCATGGGGACCATTGAAAAGCCCAGAATTTCTCCATTATTCTGTAACATTAAGACAAAAGGTCTGAACACTTAGTTCCACAGACTTATAAAGAGATGCAGAAAGAAGTATTTGACATACTGTATCAGAAATCTATTATGATAACTCTCTATACATCTTAACTTCTGCTAGGATGAATGAACATTCGCATGAAATCCATTTAATTTAACAGGTACATCTATAGTGATGGAATTCCTTCTCCTCCGCACTCTGGCCCTCCTGTCTGCATGGATCAGGCTGAAGAGTGACTCATCTGTGAAGAGGACCCGATGCCACTGCTGACGAGTCCATCGCAGCCTCTGTCTGGCCCAAGCCAGTCGGGTGTGACGTCTAGGAGGTGTGAGCAGAGGGCCTCTGACAGGTCGCCTTGCTCTAAGGCAGGCAGCATGGAGCCTCATGTCTTGTCACAATGCCCACATCAGTGTCTGCCGGCAGTTTCAGCAGCGGTACAGGTGGCAGATCTGAAATGATCTCTCAGATGGACCAGTCCGATGTGTGAGTCCTGCTCTGGTGTGGTCACTCAAGGGCGACCAGATCTTGGAGGGTCATCTGACCTACCGGTCTGCTGAAACCTTCTCTGCAGTCAGGACACAGTAGAGTGGCTTACTCCATAGTGTCTGGCAACACTGGCACATGACATGCCTGCCTGCAGCATGCCTATGGCCCTCTCCCTTGCTTCTGGTGACATTCGAGGCATCATGGAAATCACAGAAAACTGACTAAGTGTGCCCTTTTTCTTGCAGTGACCTAAGCTTTGAATAAAGCTGTTTTGAAGGTGACCTGATCAGGCATTGTTCCACCTGGAACTTGTTGGGTAAAAGTGCACCTAACGAGCTTCCGTGTGATTGGCAAGTTGCAATGCCTCACTGCACAAGCTGTATTGCTGGTCAGAGGGCTCAAAACAAATTGACAACATTTTGTGAAAGTACATGAGCTATAACTATAGTATTCTCATTCCAGAACATGTTGCATTTCTTTTTTCCCCATCAGTATACAATATATAGCTTTTTTTAAACCAGAACTTAAAACTGTCTCAGACATTTATCTTTGAATTAGACTGATAAAACCCCAAGCTCACTCTATCTCTCTCATTTACCACTTCAGTAGTGTGGACATACAATACTTAAGGCAGAGAAGAGGCACGATTCTAAAAGGGAAGCTTTACTGGGGTAGCATGCCTGTCTGAGGAGAATGACTACCTGTCCATAAAGACTGGGCTGTCAGAATGATTTTTATACATACTGTAGGTAGGCAGAATGCAAGAGATTAGGTTTTGACCTCCTCTGGAACGCGTTTAAAACTTCATTTACTGATCGGGAACTCATATGGGCGGCACTTTTTGTGAAAAGAAAACAAAATCACATAAAGTGCTCTGAGCTGCTACCTGACTTTATCCAGCTACGGCTGTATTTGAGCTATAGAATCATTCACATAATTATAATAAAACTTTTATCAGAACAGATTTGGACATGTGGAATACAGGAAATTGTGTAAGACTGTCCCTCCTCCTTTAAAAATGCATGCTATGTACTGTAAGTCATTCCCAGCACTGGGACGTGCCTCCTGCTTGTATATTACTCATTTCCCAGTTTCATTGCAAGAGTATACTTTACATAATGTGTATGACGTCCGAGAAAAACGGTTTCCCACAGGTGCAGTTCTGGGAAAGGTTTCTGGATACCTGTGCAGCCACAAGAGACACACTTGTCATTTGTCTTGCAGACAAGCCTTCTTCTTGGTCCAGTGCTCCTCCTCCACTTGCCTGCCATGCTTCCCGAGAAAACCATCTTAAAGTACAACAACAAAGAGGATTTCAGATTCTAATGAACACCCTTGCTCATCTGCCACCTCCACTCTGTGCTTTACAGTACAATTACATACCTCAAAGCTACACTGAGAGCCATTAAAACAACACAACAAATGAGTACTGGAACCAGTACATTTTGATATCACACCAATACACGAAGGCATTCTGCCGCAGAAAATAAAAGACCAGCAGTTTTTTGTTTTTTTTTATCGTCAAACTGATACTTTTTCATTAAAGACTACATCTTTGTTCTATTTTTCTTTACTTTAGCAGTAGAAATATAATGTGTCTTTCCCTTTCTGGACAGACAACCACAGTAAAGTATTGGTTGCATTATGCTAGCAGTTGTTTATAACTGTAAAGGGCTTTCTAAGGGTAATGAATTGTGCCACAAGCTCCTGTCTTAAGGGGAGCAGTATTTATTCCGGTATAAGGTCACAAAACCAAAAAGCACATGCGGACTCACTAGTTCTGATGGCAGTGGGATTTTGTTCCAAGCTCTTTGTATCCTCGATGTTTCGTTGCCACTGTAAAAATATTCAACACTTCATGACAATGTACCTCAGCTCAACTATATAACCACTCTCCCTTTAATGACTATTTAACAATATGCACTTTAAAAGCAACATCAGGTAATTCCCAATGTCAGTAAGCTAATCTACTCTTAAGAAGCATAACACTGAAACAAGATAACTGACTGGCAGTTCAAACAGAACAAAAGATAAAACAGATGTCACAGAAACTAAAGGGCTCCTGCACATTAAACAAAACAAATGTTAATATTACTTTCACTCTTTCCTTATGAGTAATGCAATACAATATATTAAATTGGCTATTTGCCCTATTTCGGGCATTTTGGTTGCTATTATCTTATAAATTGATGGATCCCCAAGGATACCAGGGAATCAGTTTCTATAAAATATGACTGCATAGGTAAGAAATTTAAACATGTCAAAAGCTTTAAGAGAACACATTCAACATGCTCATACATTACTCACATACCTTAAAAAAAAACTCCACCATCACAGTTCATAGTTCATAAGAACTGCTTGATGTAGTTCAACAATCAAAACAGTCCAAGAAAAAAAACTCTCTCCACTCCTGACAGACATGGGATATTCTCATATTTATTCTTCACAGCTTCTCACTTTTCACATTTCAGGCATTATTTAACTTGGATAAACTCTGCATTATCTTACAGATTGCTTAATATCGATAAGACTAAAAAGATTACGGTACTCTGGCTTCTTGTAATGAAAAATTGCATATCAATAGCCTTGGAAAATTAGTTAACAATTCCAAGTGTTTCTTTGGCAATCAACAAAATCTGGCTCACTCTGTAGCCAAGCTAATTTCAACTTACTTTGAACTTCTGAAGACCTTGGAGGCTATCAAACCTGAGGTAAGATATGTCATCCTTATCTTTTCCACTGTCCCGATCTACTGTGTAAATCTGTTTAATTCCAGAACCCTTTATCAAAGGCACACACTCATCACATGGACATTTCGTTATAAAAATCATTGTATTCTCCTCTTCTTTAATCTCCTTGCTCCTACACAACACAAAAGGAAAACACAATTATAGAAAAAAGGGATTTCTTTGAAAAATTGAAGTATTCCTTTAAAAGTATTTTTCCTCACATTTCAATTTTGACTTCTTTCTTACTCTATTCTGTGCAGTTTTAGCCACCACTAAATTTAGTTCAGGTTTACTTGCCAAATGAACACCTTTACCTTGCAAAATGTTACTTAAAAGAAATGACAAATGGCATGAAATTTAGCAATAAAATCAGCTACATTTCTTATGGACTCTAATTGATGTAGGGACGCTACAGCAAATTGTAGCAAACCAAATTTATTTCCTTACTTGAAGGAGATTGTGTAGATTCTGCAGTTCTTGAAAGATCCACAAAAGCAAACAAACTCAGCAAAAAAAAACAAGCCACGTTTTCAATGGCTGAATACATTTGAAGAGCACTGTATTTTTCAAGGAAAAAAACACCAGTTTTTTTTTTGGGGGGGAAACTGGTAAAAACGTTAAAAAATCAAAATATCTTAAGCTGTAATTTAGAAATGTGCAGGTTTAGATTCACACTGAAGGGGGGTAGGTCTGTGTGTGTGGAGAGAGCTTCTTCCCCACCTGAAGAGTAAGGCGTTCTGTTCTGCGTGTATGATGTATCTGTACTTCCTGGTTTCCCTGTCTCGCTGCTTGTTGTCCATCTGTGGGAATTCGGCGTACTCCGACCCCACCGGGAAGGCATTGTAGCCACAGCCAACAAGATACATCCTCCCCGTGCCATCACAGTTACTCTGAAAAGAATCACCTCAAACCACTCAATAAACCAAACTAGCTGCACCAGAGGTCTGGCGTTGTGTACTAAAACAGAAAACCAGGAATGGAGTGACAAACTCAATTTTAAAGGCCACAAAAGGGAGAGACTGTGTACTCATCCAGCTTATGGATGTGTGCAAAAAAACAAAAATCTTTTATAATATTATGAAAACACAGCTACCTTTTAGACCCTTCAATTTTCCACACAACTGGTCCTTAAATTTTCAAAGATTACCAACAAAAACAACAATAACAATAACTTCTTAACAAAACGTATTGATTCTATAGAGTTAAAAGTAATTTGAAATTTCAAGAGCTGAAATTTACTTTTTAACAGACTACAAAACTGGTGATGCAGACAACTATTCCAGAATTTTCCTTCAGATTCTAGACTTCATGCACAAGGGATGTATTTTGGCAACTAAAAAACAGAACTGTGTCCGCCACCCTAAAGAAGTGTTCACTTACAGATTTCCCCTCTGCCCAGATGACAGCACCTACTCCAACCTTGGGATCCTCTAAAAGGAAAAGTTAGCAATTCAGAGTAGTTAGTGGCCGATGACAGCACATATTTTTCTTTAAGAACTTCTGACAACAGGAAATTTTGTCAACTAATAAACAGTCTTGCAGAGAATAGGGCTTGGATCTCAAAGATTTCTCAATATAAAGATCGCTACAGCAGTTTACCTTTCACTAAATCAAAACAAATACTGCGGGTGGCATTAAAGGCAAATTTCAAAACTTGATAGAATGTTTTGGAGAAACCTGTTCCTCCATAAAGCACAACTTTAATGGAGGTCCTAAAGCAGACGTTTTGTTTTGGTATTCATTGGAAATGTAATTGTAATGTAATGTAGTTGCACTTGCAACCCTCTGAGCAATTTTTAAAGTGTACTTTATCCCTCCCAGGCCATGACTGTTCTTCTCGGTGTCTGGATAAACCAGAACATTTGATTACCTGTTTAGTGGGGGTGTGTCACATTTTAACAAGGGCTTACCTATCTGCCTGAATGAATGCTTTCCCTGCCACTCACTGCCACACAATAGAAAAAACTAAATCAAAGTGCAAACAGTATTGTATGATATGTACTACAAAGGATTCTGCTTTTACTCTCATTACTGGCTTATCAACGTCAATAATAAGTCATTGCAGGCTAATAATTTATTCTCATTATTTGGATCTACTAGAATAAGGTGAATCTGACCCTAGAACTTTGGGAACCCAAGAACTGTGCAACTAAAATACATTTAACTACTGTATGTGAAACGTAACACAAGCTGCTTTGATTTTTGATCTGTCTACACACCATATCAGTAGCGCATGTTTTCCATTCAAGAAAATCCTATACAGTTCTGAATACTCGAATGTTCCAACTTAAGAATTTTCTTTCCCACCACATTAAAATGACTAAACAAAATCTCAATTCGATGGTTTTAGCGAGGAGCCAAGGACATGTCTAGAAATTAAATCGGACGACTAAAACCTTAAAGGGGGCTCGAGAAAGCATGGGGACTCTTACCAGTTCGGTACGCCAGGAGTCTGGCCTGTACTACACAGTGCCTGGCGATGTCCTGGGACAGTCCCTCGCCTGCCTCCTGCACATCTCGGCAGTAGAACCCATACCCGTGTCCCTGGGGTACACTGGAGTCCACAGCGGCCAAAACCAGGAGGAGGTCTCTCATGTGCTGTCTCAGGCTCGAATAGTAGGGCTCACAGCAGAGATTCTGCAGACCCATGATCTTCAGGATCTCCTTGTGCTGAGCCTCGTCGGGGACGAAGAACACCTTCAGGTAATCGGCCAGCTTCTGCCTGCGGTGCTCCGCGAACAATTCTTCCACGTTCAGCTTCGGGTTCTCGCACGCAATTTCCCCCAGGAAGTCACAGTTCTTGGAGGTCTCTTCCACGTACTGGTGCATGTTGCTGGCTAAGGGCTGCAGGAGGACGCAGATGTGAGGGCGGCTATTGGACTTCAGTCTCTCTGCAGCACTGGCGTCCAGGGCTGCGTCCCAGCTGCGGTGTTTGCTTCCGAGCAGGCTCACTTCTGGGTCGGCGGGCCAGTAGACAATCCTGTTGACACCCGCTGAAGAAGGAAAGTGAAATCGCGGGCGAGAACTGGTGAGGAACAGCACTGGCCAAGGGAGCATATGGTAAAGCTGTGGTGATGTTGCCATAGTGTTACCAGTTGACCGACGCTATCGACCAGCACAATCTGGCCGAAACATGTAACACAAAAATACTAACATCCGGTCTTTTAGATTGTAATCATGCAAGCATCACACATTAGCATCACTGTTCTCACCATTTATAATCATCTTTAGGCAGGTGCAGCAAGGCTTTCTGGAGAAGTAGAGATCACAGTCCTTCAGCCTTGGTCCATGCTTAATAACAGCTATTTGTCCGGCATGCAGCTCAGTACTGGAGCAGTGCAGGCCAGTGATCTGCCTATTATTAACCACAACAAGCCCAGTCGTCCTAATCTGCACAAAACAAAAACATTATTAAAACAATCACAAATTTAAAAATGCCATCATCTATTATTGGTTTGAGTAGAGAGCTGCGTTGGCAGACAGTCTGTAAAGGGACATGCAGAGGCTAACTCCACAATGAAAGGTACAAAAGAAAAACGTGTTTTCTTCAGGTGTGCAAAGCCTGTTTCACATTGTGTGTTTTCTTCTTTCTACGTTTCAGCTTGGAACTATAACCGGTTTTCTAAGCAGGCATTCCTGACCTTTCATTACTACCATACCTTTCCTAAGTAAGAAAACCACTTATTATAAAATCACAGATATCACTTTTAAGCATCTAATTACTGAGTCACAGTTATGATATTTTAATATGGTTTTGTCATGGGACATTTCGCAATACAAAGTAGGCATTTTAATACAAATATATCCAGTTTATGGAAAACCCTAGCTTGTGATAATGTACTAGAAACAATAAGGCAATCTATGAAAAACAGACTAGAAGGCACTGTAGGGAAATTAATTTCTGCACTCCAACAATTTAACACGAACACAGCGGCACAACTCCTGTTATTAAAACTAATAAACAAAACACATACTATTTTTAAGAAATCACATTCCCAAAAACAAATTCAGTTGTTTGATGTGCTGGTAACTTTTTACAATAACCCCAAACCTCCAAAAATGACTAGAAATACACCTTTACTAATAGATGAAACAAATACACAATAAACAGGCTACCTGTTGGGTTCCATTTTCTTGATCTTTCTTATTCTTGGGGTACAGCTCCATCCACAGACTCAATAAAGTGAACAAGTTCGCTTTAGACAGCCTTGGAATATGGCCTAAAATAAAAGCATGATGACAATAATTTCCCCTCCATATTGACGTGCTTTTAGTCCAGAAAAAAACATGTGACACCCAGGGGAGAAACTGCAGCTAGTTTTCACCCCGATGAAGTCACCTTAGTAGTAAACAGAGCTGATTTTTGGGCATAAAGTCTTTTCAAGCCTTTTTTACAGGGCTTTGAACCCTGACTATGCTGTTTTCTAGTTTTGAATTTAAAGAGGACGGTCATTTTTATCATACAAAGGATTTAATCAAACAAACTGTCCACATGTGACTGTTACATACTGTAGTTCTATCGTTATCAGAATGTCAACAGTACTGGCATCAATATTTAATCGAGTGGGGGGATAAGTCTTTTCCACTGAAATCTATTAAGTAATTTCTATTTTAAGCTCCGGGTAAAATAAAATGGCATGATCATGACCAAGATTCTCTCACCATGAAAAAAGACACTGGAATTTGAAATCGTCTATCTATCCAAAGACAACTGGGCTCATTTAACACAAATGCAGTTAGCCCAGGAGGAAGGAAGCAAATATTACCGTATTTTTTAAAAGAAAATGTTAAGTAGCAGGTACTGTCGATTATATATAGATTTCCTTAGCTCCGAGCACACTGTCTATCGGGTTATGTAAGGTGATTTGCTCCGTACTGTATGTACAGTGATTGGGCTCACAAATACCACATACAGAACAGTTACTGACACTGGCAGCTCCTACCACTCACCTTGTACTTTTGTATCGGTTTGAGTGCTGGCTTCACTGACACTGACGTGTCCTTTACAGCTGCATCCAGCGCGGTTTTCTTCACTCCCCATCTTCACTGGGAAGCCGGCCGAAGCTGCCATTCACCGAAATCACGGAAAACGTTTCGGGGTTTTATGTATGTTTACGTCTAGCGAGGTACCTTTCGGTGGCGAAAACGATCCGCCGTTGCTTCCTTGAACCGACCCTTTCACGTCACTCGACGACGTGAGACCAACAAACAGGAGGAGCTACGGCCGACGTAACGACATTTCCCACAGAGGAGCCGAGCACATTTTCAGTTTAATCGGAAATCGGGTCTTTGTTTTTTTTTTTCTTTCAAACGTTCGTTGACAAGAAACGTGGGTTTTCAAAATGGTCCTCCTGATCATGAGTGATACAGTTCAGAAGAGCTGTCCCGCACTGAGGGTCTGGAGTGTGCAGTACAGGGGTTTTTCAAATTCAAAGAGCTTTATTGGCATAACCTTTAAATCCAGCGTTGCCAAAGCAGATACAATTAACGCAACATTTACAGTCATTTGCGCTACAAACATCACATAAAACATTACTGAGAGACAGGCACAGTCCCAGGTCCTCAGGCTGTGCCAAAAGCCCCATTCTGGTAGTGACTAAGTTACAGTCTGTTGGCACCGTCCAGCCAACAGCACTGCATGTCGTCATGGAGGGGTTGTCTTCTTACCAGCGAGTCAGTGCAGATAAGAAATCGAAACCTAAAGATACAAAGAGTAAAAGCACGACGCTTTAATTCATTGACTGGCTTGCTGCGTCTCTTGAGGATCTGGTTAAATCAGAAGCCCGTGAAACTGTTAAAAATGGATCAGAATTTGTTTTGTGGATTTTGTCACTCATCGAAAGAATCATCTAAGACTGGATCGCTGTTGAGAAAGGATGATGTTCTTGCTCATGAAAACTGCTTGGTAAGTTATGCTGACTGACTTGAAACATCTTGATATCAATTTGAGTGGAATTCCAATCAAGAGTGGAAATGAAACAGATCTAAGCTGTTTTCCTTGATAAATGTAGCAGGGTGGACGTTTTTGTTTTTGGATAACAGCCTTATATCTAACTTATAATTTATGGTCTAGATCTCCTTTTTCACTTTTAAGAGGAACATATTTTTGTTTCGATGGCGAGATAAGAGACACAGCAACATTTGAAGACAAGGACGAGACATTACTATTAGTTTAAAATCACATGATTGAGCTAAATGGTTTGTTAAAGAAAACGTTAGGTTTTATAGATGTATAGGCATATTCGTTCAGGTGGGTAGCATGCGTAGTCTGCAAAGGAACAAGTAATAAGTTTATTCCCTGCTGAAAAGAGAAGAGAGGAAACACACCTGACACTTGAAGAAGGCTTCACAGCCGAAACGTTGTTTTCTCTCTTCTCTTTTCAGCAGGGAATAGACCTATATACATCCAAAATTTCTATATAAATGTACCGAACTAAAAGGACTAAGTTTTCTGTGTTTCTATTTTACAACAACATATACTCCTTTAAATGCCATTAACTAAAACAGCCTCTTTACTAGTGCAAAATATTATAGCAGTGGCCTCTTCCCTGCTGTGCAGCTGGAATAGGAGCTCACTGTGGTGCTTGGGCTCTCTGAACCTTCCCCTGCCCAAAATGGTGGAAGAGCGACCCGGGCGGAACTGGTCGCTCTGGCTGTAGTGTCTGTTCCGAAAATCTATTTCCCCGTCGCCTTCATTTCTCAATAACGGAGAGGAAGCGCACCTTCTCTCTTTTTATTCATTTTTTAACTTTTTTTATTGCAGAAACAAAAATATGTACAACAATACAATTCACTGAGAGATACTAGGATATATATCCCATACACTATAAATACTATAATTTACCAATCTAGTTGAATAATCTCACTTTCTTTGTAAACTTTTGTTGTACAGAGATGTGGTTGTTTAGCAGACTCTCAGATGGCTCAAGATCCTATTATATAATTAAATAATTCGCTAATGATTTTTCGGACCGAAACAGAAAAATTTGGGAGCGGGAGAAGGTTGGGCGATTTCCACGAGATTGTGGGTCACTTGCGGGAATCAGGGAAGAGATTCTGATTCCCGGGAGACTTGGGATGCCTGGAGACTCGGGGGACAGTACATGAGAAGATTTAAAAACTCCGCTGTGAGCGGAATTAAATACTTGAACATCAGAAAGACACCCAGCTCAACTAAACTAGGTTCTCATTTTCCCACAGCTCAGTCATTTACTTCATTTCTATTCACATATCTCTTCTCATTAAAAAAAAAAATATTTTACCTTAACACTTCCCCTCGGAATCCACTGCCCAGATTTCCATCTCTTTTATCCTCTTAAATGCCATTTTTGACTCATATCCTCTTAACCGTTTTTTTTCTCCTTAAACCACACCATTTAAGAAGGCTTCATTGCTGAATTGTTTCTTTCTCATTAGAGTCAAATTAACCACTGTTGGCTTGCATGTCTTGTCCTGATACAATTCACCACTCCAATATCTTGTGCTTATGAACTGGCCAGTAACATCATGATTAGGTTGTTATTGACCACTTCCTTTGAAAATATCTCAGTGCTAAACATTTCTTTTCACATAACAGGTGTCTTTTCAGTATACATTTTATTGCTCATGAATTTGGTTTCTCTTTTATGATACACTGTTTAATCTTCTGTTTTACAGATATTTTCTTCTGCACTTCATACCAAGAATACCCCAGAGTGTGATGATCTTGTAGGATTTCTAGTGAATGATGTGAAAAAGGAGATGCGTCGTGGTCGAAAACTGGTATGATTTGTATATGTACATGCAGAAATTCTATAATATAGATATAGTAACATATAGAAGCACTTTGCAGATTTAATTTTACAATCAATCCAACCTTAGCAATACCCATATATACTATATGTATACTTCTATATATAAAGTTTGTTCTCAAAATAATATTAAATCAATATACTGTTTTTAAAGTAGAATCTTTATTCCACATGTATGTCTTCTAGGTATCTAATTTGGGTAATATAATAGAAAAATGATGGGTTTATAGTAGCCCATAAAAGCGAATGTACAAAATGATAAGATAAAATTAAGAAGATAAGAAGTGTAAGTTAGCTGTAACCTTGTAATTTATCTATTTCATTTGAATGTATGAGTGGAACAGTGAGATTATATGTAGAGCTTTTGGTTTTCAGTGTTTATATTCTGAAGGTCTTCCTCACTTTAAGCTCCATAGCCCTCATTTAGTCTTCACGAGGTGCTGAATTAATGGAAAGTATGAATTTCCTTCTCAATTTAAGATGGCCTTTTATCATTGATGATACTGATCATTCAAAGAAGCAGATCACTTTTTACTCTGGATGTACTGTATATTTTTAGAAAAATAAAGCATATAGATTCTGGATCAAATATGTTTTATGTTATTTGAATTAAAGGGGAACTGCAACACTATTTTTTATATTTTGGGTTTAGAAAGAATCGGCATTGATGAGGACATTTCAAACCTCAATAAAAGAAAAATGCACACAGTAATTTGTAAAACCTCCAATCTACACCTCTACACCACAAAATAGATTCAATTTCCAGGTGTGTGCAGCGGCATATTCTGTAATACAGAACGAGGCAAGCAGGCTGGTGAATACATCTCTTTTAATCCAAAAGAAATATTGCTCCTTACTTCAAGATGATTTTGCTGATAAATCGAACTTGTTAACTCAGAATTCTTTCTACAGTGAAATACCTGCTGCACAACCCTGTTCTTCATTTACTTGTCATGCACATTACATTAGTCAGTATGGTGACTAGTGAGCAGAAAGAACCGCATCACCTCACAGTTTTCGCCCTTGTATGTAGTTTTCGTATCGCCCTGGTCTCAGTAGTTTCACAACGTTCACGATTTTGTGCTCAATCCCAAATTTGACTTTTTTTGTTGCCAGGATTAAATGACCGATCAGAGAAATTGGTACTGCAGTTCTCCTTTAATTGGTCATTCCTGACTGACAGTGACGCACTCATTTGTGACATACCCTTGAGTACCTTATTGCTTTTGCACTACATTACCTCTGAGCTGACCTCTTAACCTTCAAGTGTGCTGAAAATCAAGAAAGAAAAACACAGGAAGGAAAAAGTAACCCCAGTTAGTGAGAATATTGCCTGGAGTCATTCAGTGCACTGTCCTTCACCATTTGGAGTGTTCAAAGCCCCTGATTTCTAACCTGGCAAGAGGTGTTATAACCAAACATTCCTTCAGTGACTAGCAATGATTTGGGAGACCACCAGTCACTACACCCAAATCAGGATCAACAGAGTGGCCCAAGTGTGATTGTCTGGGCAGAAGTGTGTAGTCACTACAAAACTCCTCTCGTAGTGATTGATGGCAAGCAATCTGCACAATGCTAGATTGATGAAGTTCTGGGACATGACATGTTGAGCTTCATGTGAGCTCATCTTTGCATGATAGCAGGATACGGGCACATCCTCATGTCACAATGATTTTCTTGTGACATAACAGTTATGGTGGGAATTCCTTGATCAGACAAGCCCCGTTGAGCATTTGTGGGATGAACTCAGATTATGTGGGATCTACCCACTTGCTTGCCCAGACTCCTAGCACGGAACAGAATTCCTTTCGGCAGCATGATTCCAGTAGTGGTCACTACTAGCCTGTGATTTTCACAATAAAACCTCTATTGATCAATCCTGTCGATTGAATTTCAATCAGTATAATAAATCACCTATCTCAAGTCAGATGAGTAGAATGTCAGTGAATATGCTACAAAAAGATTATTTTCCTGATGGTAACTGCAAATTTGTTGCTGTTAAAAGTGATTTTTGCCTTTTGATGCTCTGCATATAATTATTTAAATATGGCACAAATTTGGATTATTAAACACCACATTTTCTACTATTCATTTGAAAATAATATTTATCTGGGTGAGATCTTTCACTGCTGGCAAAAATAAACTTAACACATTCCAATCCATCGAATTCCACTCTGTGTTAATTCTAAAACTGCAGGTGTGTAAAGTAAATTAAACAGCATCTGGAATTATCTCCATAGAACACACATATTTGAATATTATTTTTAAAAAGCTGTAATAATTTTTTTTATATTTAGTATTTGAGAGCTACTGTGATGAATGAAAGTTGTAAAACATGGGTGATAGTTTCTTAAATGACAATGGCTTTTTTGTTTTTCACAGGCATGCTTTCGATGTAAAAAAAATGGTGCAACTGTGGGTTGTGAAATAAGAAAATGTAAAAGGTCGTATCATTACCTGTGTGCAGTAAGGGACAATGCTGAACTGGTGGAAGACCATGACAACGGTATTTATACGTGAGTATGCATCTTGTTTGAGAAGATTAAAGTAGTTTCTTGTGTGATTCGTCATTCATGGATAAAGTATTGATCACTTTTTAAAGAAGAAGTGAATAAAACATATGTGTAATGATACAACGTTATAAGAAATTGTTTATCTTGTCACTTTCCTATGTGGATCTGCAGTGTGGAGTACTGGTTAGTGCCCTGGACTGGGTTCAACTCCCAGGTAGGACACTGTAAGAAAGTATTTCACCAAGGTAACTTAAATTGCTTCACTTAATGCACTTCTGTATAAATTGGTACTCTCACAAGTTGTCATTGTAAATAGACAGTTGGTCTCACAATATTTATTTGATTAAATAAAACATTTAAAAAATATAGTTTTGTTTTTAAAAGCTTATATAGTAGAAGCAAGTTTATGAAAGCAAACCTCCACAGTTGTGCCTTTGGGTTGATACAGAGCACCATGGGTTTGGCACCAGACTGTTAGAATGGACTTAGTCACTGGTATATTTAATACGTCTGGGGAGTGTTTGTATCTAAAAGCGTTTTGCATTGGGTCTTGCTTGCTCCTGTTTGTTTAATCAGTGTGCTTTTAGTAAATACCCCCC